AGTCACCAGCGATAGGACCCACAGGAATGATGTCAAGCTGCAACAGGGGAGGTTCAGGCTAGACGTGGGGAAGAGGTTTTTCACTGAGAGGGTTATCACACACTGGAACAGGCTCCCCAGGGACATAGTCACGGCACCAGGCCTGTCAGAGTTGAAGAAATGTTTGGAATGCACTTAGTCACATGCTGTGAATTTTTGGGTAGACTTGTGTGGTGCCAGGAGTTGGACTCGATGATCCTTGTGGGTTCTTTCTGTCCTGTGGGATATTCTATGATTCTACACTAGAATTTGTTTAAATCTTGACTTACTTTTTCTTCCCACCCATCCATGAATGTGAGCATGACCTCTAAACGTGAGCCTTTTCGGGCTGACTGATCATCTCCCTATTTCTTCTCTATTCCTTTGCCTTACAGGAATTATGCTGGAATATTTAACAGTATTTACACTCACAAGCTTGGATTTTGCAATTTCATCTGCTTCCACTAAAGAAGAGGAACCACTTACCCAAGTCCACTTACCCTCAAACTAGCATAATTGGTTTCACTTGTCTCAGCTTGAAGGGGTTAAAACATTTATCCACTTTACATGAAGACAAGTTATTTGTTTGCTTTTTCAAACACACTCCTACACACTCCTGTCCAAATATTTATTATTTTTTTTTTAATTGAGAGCAGCAGGATGTTGGGCAAGTTCTATGCACGAGCAAAGGATTTCTCCTTCAAACCTACTTCATAATTCAAACATGATTCCAGCCAAGGCACAAGCTGAGCATCACCCAAGGCTAACCGGGAAGTCCAAGATCAAGCAGAGACTTTTTTTTTCCCAGACCTTTGGGGTTTCCCTGCCAGAGGGAGGCTGAACAGGAGAGCTCCATAAGAGCTGCACCGCAGCACAGCCTGCTGGTACGTCTCAGCCAAAGCAGGAGTGCTCTCAACACGATCAAACCCAAGAACAGCACAGAAAGACAAGATTTTAAGAAACATGAACTCAATGAAGGATAACGGCCTGCTACACATTCTTGAACCACAGCTGAACTACAACATTTTAACACAGGCTGAACAATTAACCTGAACAGCGTAAGAGTGGTTATAGATCAGGTTTGTCAGGGACAAATGCATGAAACCACAAGGAAAACAGCTCAAAGTGCTGTATAGCAAACACCAGCTTTGTCACAATGTCAAAGCAGAGTCCTGACCCTGAACGACCTAGGCCTTCTAGCAGATAGGAATCATTCTAGTTCTAGGTTTTCCTGTTGTGGAGCCTGCTTCTTTTTTTTTTTTTTTTTTTTTTTTTTTTTTTTTTTCTAGAAAAGCATGAACTTACAAGCCCATGTTTTGTGCAATATGAAAGTATTTGCTTTTGAACTCACAGGCCAATTTCAGTCAAGTGCAACAAAGATAATGAAGTTTCATGAGACTTAGAGGCTGTGGAAAGGAGACAAGTAGAGTTGCCTTGGTCAAGGGAGATGCTGTAATATGAACTTGTCTTTACTGCATACCAGAGAACCCACAGTGGAAAAAGTCCTTAGAAATGCTTCAGTAGGGCAGGGCTGGCTCAGGTTTCTTTCTTTGATGCCAGAAACTCGCAACCACCAGACAAATCCAGAGAAACCAATTCCACAGATACCTCTGTTTCCAGAGCTCCCTGTGTGTCTTCTGACTACCTATGTTAGCTGTTTTAAAGATAATGCATGAGAGTTCTGCTTATGCTCCCCAACTCTGGACACCACATGGCGTAGTACAAACACACATTTTCAGTCTATGAGTTCTTCATTCCTATTTTTCCATGTTTCAGTATTCCATTATTTCCTTTATTCTCTGCTGTCTAGAGCATCATACTTCTAATACAGGCAATTAAGTAATAGGGAGGTGGCATTTAGAATTAATCAAACCTAAATTTAATTCCAGGATATTCCTGTGTTTCATTAAGAAAGAGGTCATGCAACAGGTTGAAACCAAATGTGGATCAGATACAGTATGCTTCACAGCAGCAGTGTTGTTTTTGGCAGTGCCTTGGCAGATGTCTTCTAGATAACTTGGTAGGACCCCATCTATTGTTATACCATGAATTCATCAAGCAAACTTTCAAAAGGCGTTGTATTTCCTTGTTTAGTGTACTAGCTTCTTACTGCAGCATTGTACCGAGAAAAAGGAATTGTTTTTGCCACCATTTGCAGACTCAAAACCAAAAGAAGCAAAGCCATGCTGGGAGGCAGGCTTTCACCCACACAGAAACAAAAGGTTTGAGGTAGAAATTACCAAGTGACTGGTTGCTGCTGGTGGCCTCCAACCTAAAAAGACAACAGGGAAGAAGCTCTAATTCTTCCTGACCTGCATATCAAGCCACTTTTAGAGCAGAGCCCTTGGGAAGACAGCATGGGCAGCCCAGCTTCTACAGTCCCACTGCCCTCCCATTGAGTAGCTAGATGCAAAAGCATTACAGAACTAGCGAAGCTGCCGAATTTTTACAACTGGTCTCAATAAACAAACCAGAAAATACACCTTGACTTTTGGAGGCCAGGCTGCAACCTAGTACTTTTAATGCATAAACTGAGCTTGTCTCACAAAACCTTTGGGATGCAAAGAGAAACCTAGTTGCCCTTTCTCCAGCTGGCACCACACTTGGAGTATTGTTATGGTAAGTATGATAATCTCTACCTTGTTGCAAAATTGCACTGAGGCAAGACATGATCTAGCACTCAAACTTACGCTAAAAACCTCAGTTTCTGCTGAGACATTAATTCACAGCTGGAAGTGCCTTAACTCAAATAAGAACAAAAAAGACAAGCTGTGCCAGTATCTGAAGAGGAGACTGAGATGTAAACACACACAGGCTGTGGGAACTGCAATAAGCTTCTGATGAGTACTCACCTTCCTGTAAGAACCTGTTAAGAAGCCACAAAGATTTTTATGGTAGCGGTTTCTTTTAGCTACGATGCAGTTGTAAGATTCTCATTCTGTCCATGAGAAACTCCCTAGGACTATTGTAAATACAGTTGTAACCCAATTCCAACTCTCATAATTATATTATATATACTTAAATTATCCCTGAAGGCTTTTTTATTTGTTTTTTAATAAACAAACCCATGAAAGTCTGTTTTTAGAAAACTGTTTTCAGAGTCTAAAGTAATGGCCCCTTCCTCTCCTTTCCAGGTCTCTCACATAAAGCTACTTTAAAAGCTTCTGCTCCACTCCACAGAATCCAGCATCCAACTTTTGGTCTTCCTCTATGAAGAAATCCACAGAGACCAAAAGAAATAAGGTCAGTTGGTGCAAAGTTCATTCAAAAAAAATCCTGTTTCTTACAAGTCTAATGATCAGTTTCCCCTAGTGGAAATGGGTCAGGACATTGGGGAAAAAAAAAAAAAAAAAGAATTACTACAGAGCACTAGATAATAGCTGCAACAGCAGCTCCTTATGCAGGAAGGCACTTAAGGAGAATTCACTTACACAGTGAGAAATTAAAACGGAAATCACTAGTGCCTGGATTCAGCCTACCTCAATGCAAGCCTCTATTTAAGAAGCCCAAATGAGGAGAAAAGGTATAGAACTGAATCCAAGGTAACACCCAACTCCTTACCTTGGAGACAGCAGGGAGCTGAGACAGCTCTTATCGCAGTATCTGGAGCACAGCGCAGACCACAGGCTTAGCTCTGTGGTTAGTGACTCACCTGCTTAAGTCAGGCAATTGAAGGTGAAACCTGAGATCTTTATGTAAAGATCAGTCTTTGGACTTGGCAGTTGTAGAGCATCTGTCTGGTGTCTGCTAATAGCTCAGAGCAGCATGCTGAGAGGCCCAAGCACCTCAACAGGATGCAAGCATGCTGAGGGATGTTCCAGCGCTTTACTGCATCAGATGCTGCACATGGGCAGCTTTGGGAAGACTGAGGAAATTAGGGTTTAGTTCCATTCTTTAGAGGAGAGGCACCAGTTAAAAATAACCTTAAAATACAACAAAAAAGTCAGCCCCCCAAACTCTTTCTTGAGGAAACTGTGTGAATTATGGTTTACACAAGAAGCCTTCCAATGAGAGTGGCTCCCAAAACCACACTTTCTCTTTTTTCTTTGAGAGATGCTCTAACTTAGTGGAACACAGATGCTGTCTGTGCAAAAGCACTGTAAAATGCAGTCAGACACAGACAGGCTGTAAATATATTTCCTCAAGATACTCTATTTGCTGTAATGTTGTCCTCAAACCCACAGCAGTGTTAAGAAGCCTTTTATAACAGAAAAGGCTCAGGAAACTACCGTCTACCTCCTGTCTTCCAACCACCCCTCGCCTCTGCTGCTGCCAGTGCTATTTGCAGCAGTTTTCATAGCACTTTCAGCTTCATTATGAACAAGTCATGGTAACCTTTTCCAGGCTACAGACTCCATCCAGGTTCTAAACACCCAAAGGATTTGGATAAATAACAACCAAAACACAACAGTTCAAATTCTGAGGTTTGCCTATTATCAGCCTCCGTATTACATGCAAGCAGGTTCAAAGAGAAACCAACTAATTTGTAGTAAGATACAAGACAAAAGAAATACAATGCACCTTGATCCAGCATTTTTGCTACTAGTATATATGAATTAATTGCTGAAGAATACTATATGTATTATATATATGTAACACAAATTACGTGTTTTATATTCCCTCTCAACTGCAGATCTTCAGAGGTCAGCTGTGTGTGTGCATGTGCAATAAGGGCTCCAGATTACCAGAGACTCTGTGCTGGTCCTGAATGCAAGAAAAGAGCCTGATGCTCTATGCATGAAAGTTACTAATCACACTAAGGTGAGTGTCTCTGCATCACTGGGAGACTGACAGCATAATCCTCTGAAGGAACAGAAGCCATACCCTAAAAGACAAGCATCATCTTCTGTGACACATTCATACCTCCACTGCAGTCCTCTAAAACCCTGTACTTGGAATATTCAAACAGATCTCATTGGCACAAGCCTCAAAAGGCCACTTGTCTGCTTCTAAGATGAAGAGAACAGGAATGAAAACAGAAATGCAATAAGATATGCCCTTTTCAGGGCTCCATTTATTGAGTGAATACAAAAATAAGATCATGTAAATGAAGATGCACAGTAATCTGCTCCCTAGTGAAAAAAGTATCTTGGATTAGCAGTAAACAGTGTTTACAATGCCTTGTAAACAGACCTCTTTTTACAAGCTAGAAGCGTACCGAAATACAACACACATTAGATTAAAAGTTCCCCATTGTAGCAATACTTCACACTTCTCATCGAGTGATTTCAGAGTATTTTGTAAAAGGTGAGAGCATCCTCTGTTTTGTTTTCAAAAAGGAACACACATGAAAATAATGAAACATGATAAATTTGCAATGTAAACAGTTGAAAAAGTGCCACATCATTTTCAGAGGATGATGGCTTACCCCTTGATAGGTAAGATAGGTAATTTACAATGAAAAATAATGATCAAAGCTATAGTACATTATGGAAAGGTTTTAAAAATGACTATTTTTTACAGCAACTTGTTGCAGTTGAATAAAAAATATATATTTTTCTTAATACAGTACATGGCATTTCTCCTAAATTGCACCAGAATTAAATTTGGAAGCACTTTCAGTTTCTGTTATAGGCAATTGGGAAAGAAAAACAAGCCAGGTAGGCCTTTCAATCTCTTCTGCCTATTGCTTTATCCCTACCCTTTCACATCTCTGAGTCCACATACATGCCATTGATCAAGTAATCCACTTGTGTATAATCCTTCTTTTTGTAACTTTCATAAGCCTGCATAAGGAAAAGGACTATGACAGTTATGAAAAAAACTGTACCAAATAAAAGCACTGCAAGAAGCGAACTTTTATCCACTAAGTACTGAGTCAGAGGCTCCGCAGCAATGAGAAGATAGTCATTATTTGTGTCCTGAGTCTCTGCAATGTTTGAAGTTGTTGTTCCAGGTGTGTTTGCTGAAGTGGTGGTTGTATGTTTAATTGAAGGAGTAAGAGATACTGACTTTATTTCATGCCCAGTTGTAGCTTCTGCTGTAGGGCCACTAGGTAAACCCATGGCACCTCTCGTAGGACCCTGAGAAGAGGTTGATTCACTCGAGGATGTTGGAGCTCTATTTGTTTCTGGCAACATGGAGAATGTTGAATTCGCAGAATGTGGACTCACCGAGGGGCTGAACGTAGCAGCACGAGTAGAAGCAGTGGAAGATGTCACTGCATCCTGTCTGGTGAGCGTGGTTGATGTTGTGCTCGGTGTTTTCAGGGTAGTTCCAACAGTATTGAGGCTACTGGGGTGGGGAGCACTGATCATGTTGGTGGCTGTGCTAAACTGCTTGGTGCGATTCGTTTGAGTATCTGCTCCAGCAGTGGCAGTGATGGGAGTAGAAGAGGAGGCTGATACTGAGCTAAAGCTATTATTTCCTAATTTTTCAGTGGTGGTCAGGAGCTTGCTGATACTCCTGGAAGTGGAAGCAGTGTCCTTAGCAGGAGTGGGAGAAGGGACAGTGGTGGACATGGTGGTAAGAAGGTTCACTCCCGAAGTATTTGAGGCTTTGGTAGTTTTATTAGCTTCCCCAGGGACAGTTGTTGCACTTGTACCCGCTGTTGTTACAACTGTGGTAGCACTGACAGTTGTGGTGGTGGTAGTAACGCTGCTTGCAGGTCTTTCTGTGTTTGATGCTTCAGGATAACCTGCAGTCGCAGCCAACTGCCTCAAGTAAACCTTGTGAGCCTGAGCGGTGGAGGAAAATTGGTTCTCTCTGTTGTATTGTTCAATCTGTGCCTTCACCATCCTCTTTGTTTTCTGTGCATAGCTTTGGGGGTGAAACTGGACTGTTTCCCTTTCCCCAAAGATGATTTCTTAAAAAAAAAAAAAAAAAAAAAAAAAAAAGTTGTAAGAATAAAACTCTCAAGCCTAAATCTGACCTCACACTCCCATGTGCTAACCAGAATGTATATTCTGAAGTACATGCATTAACCGGACTGAATTGGTCCCGGAGTCAGCAACAACATGAAAATCCAGACCCCTGCCTTTATTGTATACAATCCCTTTGGGTTACTTTTTTTTTTTTCCTGCCACAGACCTCTGGCATTTGCCCAACCAGGGAATTAATTCCATGAAAGGAGGGTAATGAAGTACAGAGCTACAACACAAACGTTCACAAAAGGAGCAGCGTCATGAACACCAGCTTTGAAGCAGCAGCGTCATGTTTTCATGAAGTAACACATTCTCAATAAGCCCTTCATGCTTAGGTTCCTAATTTTCACCTCTCAAAACTGAGAATTTCCACATATACCTTTGTCCTTCAGGAGAACCTCCTTCACAACTAGTGATCTAGATTTATTGTGACATAAATCCCATCTGCTTATCAGAGGTCTGGTTCCTATGTTGCAGAGAAACCTTTGCCAATGCAAAAGAACAATGAACAATTTTTTTAAGCCTGTATATGGCATACTCTTGAAACATACTTTAGAAGATTGACTCCTCGATTATGAGCAAGCTCTGTTTTGTTACTTAGTCGATTAAAATTGAAGACCCTAGCACTCAAAATTGACCATGAGCAGCTGCTACTAAGACTGCTCTGATTATATAAGCAGCCTGCTGCCTCTGGCACAAAAATCCTGGCTATCTCAGAAAATACAATGCCAAGACATTTTTTCTCTTTTAAAAAATATAAATATATCTGTTATGCCTTTATTTTCATAAGGACAAGAATGTGGAATGCACATGGGCTGAATGAATCATGCCTTTCACATGGAGAGGCCAATAAAAGTTACCCAAAGACATATTATGCACATTTAAGTACCAGAGCTGTTAGTAAAACTGTTAGCTGTTTAAGTACCAGAGCTGTTAGAAAAACATTTTTCAGTTACAGAATCATCCTGCAGGTATTTCATAACCCATCGCCCTTTATCTGAAAGCCAGTCAAGGTTTAAATTTAAGGCAAAAAAGATCAGATCCTGGATTTAGCAAGACTTTGAAGCATAGCATTACCTCCAAGCAGATCTTTGATTTCTTGGTCTTCAGCATTTTGGCACACACTTAGCTGGTGGCACTGCAACAGGATGCAGTGATTCTGGTAGGGCACAGACCAGTTGCAGTGATGGTTACCTAAAGACAGCAGAAGGCAGGTATCAGGACTATTAGCCACTTCCAACACAGAACCCCTAAAATCCAATAGGCCAGAACAGACTTCACCTTAGTCAGGCTCTTAAAACCCTTGCCTGACCAAAGAACACTTTCAGACAAATAAGAAAATGGGTCATTATACACAGCATAACTGAACATACTGCTTCATGGCTGAAAATGAAGAATTAAAACAAAAACCAACTAATATCTGGAAGGTACAGTATAAAAGGATCCTGACTCAGCCTTCGTGAAAATAATTGAAGTCACTGAAGTTAATAAATAGCAGCTGCAGCCTACCAACCTGCTTGTCCCCTGGAGCCAACATCTAACAACAATTTGATCACCCAGACAATAACAAGGTGTGCCTTTGAGTTTGGACAGACCCCATTTATATGCTAGCATTCACCTAATGTCTTAATAAGGAAGAAAAAGTGAGTTGCAATTGAGATAGTAACTGTCAGCCATGGGCAGATGGATGACATCTCTCATATGTCTCTGTGAGACATGGCTCTCATCTCAGTGCTTGAAGTTCCACAAATTTAATCATCTGCTGAAAAATAATACCACTGGCCAGGGGAGCCATCAAAGAAATGGCCTTTCAGTATGTCAAATCCCAACACAAAGTTAAATAAGCTCACATAAAAGTCATCACAGAAGGAACTCTCACTCCTGGCATCCTTTCTAACTTTTTACCTTGTGTGCAATGCATTTCTAGGACTGGGAAATATCATGTGCTGTAACAAGAAGCAACAGGAGAAGATAGCTCTCGGTTTGGGATGAAGCAGATGTGTACCCAACTGACCACCCATCAGTAGATCAGAGAACTTATGTGTATGGCAGTAGAAGAAGTTTATTTCTGTGTTTTATTAGAAGTGTAGAAAAGGGCAAAGAACAGACACATGTGGTACACATGGCTCTTATCTACAAAGAGAATTACCCTCACTGAGGATTAAGGCTGTGAGAAGCTTGAACTTTTACAATAAAACATTTACATTACCACAGTTATTAAAAGAGCTTGTGGAAAATTTATGAACTTGGAGAAATCCCTGTACCGACAACTGTAGTCTGTTTTGACAGCCCTAAAGAAACTAGCAAAGTGGCATTTTACTGACTTACCAAATAAAATGTTAAGAAAGTCAATGAAACCATTCAAACACTTTAAAATTGGTACTTAAAAAGCAATAAAATTAAGAGCTTCAACAGGCACACATAGGAGGCTATAATCAAGTCCCCTCCTCAGACAGGAAACCATGTTTGAACGTGCTCTGATTCCTAATCCCACCTCCTGTTCCCTGCTTGAGAACCATGCTAGCAGAGGATCACAGACTGTCTACTACTGTAAATAGTGTCAGTTCTCATTTCTCGTGGAAAAGAAAAAAAAGCCAGCAGCATACCTTGTATTAGCTACATATCTAGTAAGTCAGGTCAGAAAAAGACTGATGGGGTCAGCATTTTCAGCAGCCTGATTTCTGCTGCCAGCAGAACCGCACCCTGGAAGAACTGGATGCTTCCACAGAACTGGACTGATGAGTGCTCCCTTTGAGGAGAGCTGGAGCTGCAGACCAGGACCCTGGCTGCTGTTTCCACTGCAAGACACTTGCTGCCCTGCCACTCCTCTTTGCTTGGAAAATTCTCCAGGGCTGATAACAGGGGTAGTAACTCTTAACCTCTGTATGTTTTCTAACATAACGGCTTCAAGCCTCCAGATGCTGCTAGGGAAAGTGTTACAAGATGGAGAATGTGCCCATCTCAGCAAGAATATGTCAGTTGAGGATTCCCAGATTCCTGATGAGCAAGGTAAGCAGGACATACCTGAGATGTTAACATACAAAAAAAAAGGACGTTTCAGGTCTTTTTCTCCAGATGATCTCTCTGCACCTGACTACACATTTGTGCCAAGAGTTTGTATCCTTTCTTTCTTCCCGCTAACACAGGATAAAGAAAGAGACTGGCCACCAAGTAAGAAAGAGGAATGAAATTGCTTTAGTGGGTTTAATAAAGAATGTAAAACCTAGTAAGGGCAGTACGTATTTTTGTATGGCTTCTCAAAGATGGACCAGGTCACCTGCTTTTACACCCTCAGCCCCTCTGCCCAACACAGCTAACACACAACAGGACTTGCTCATTCTGAAACACCATACCAATAAGAAACAAGGGGATGAGTACAAAGAAGTGGCTGAAGTCAGCAACAGGGCAAAGTACGTGCTCAGTCTCCATTCCAAACCCTGATTACAGACTGAATTTCTGATGTCCCTCACCTCCCTTCTCTGGAATAGGCAGCTGTAGCACCTTCTCTACCCTTATAAAGATCTTGTGAAGCTGACACATCCACAGCATTTAGAGATTCTCAGGTGGAAGAGACAAACATGTAATGTTACAGACCCCAAGTATCAGCTCTCTATGGAGCTCTGAAGCTCTGGTGCCTGGGAAACAAACCCACTCATATTTTATCTCCTAGACAAAAAAAATAGTTTGCAAAGGTGCTTTCTTTCCACTGTGAAGGGATAGAGCAGACTCCTGTATAAAATAATTAAGCTCTAAGCATCAAAAAAAAAAGTCCTTATGATGTTCCTATTAACCTGTCAGACATTTGTCTGCCATCTCATCTCAACCACAGCATCACTGATTTTTTAAAACACTACTAGATTTGACATGTGGCTAGACAAGTTAGGGTCCTTAATAAGGATGCCTTTCAAAGACTCATTTAGAAGTTTAATGCTTTTTGAAGACATCTCAGAGGTAGACACCAGAAGGCTCTCATCTCCCCTGGTCTTAATGCTGTGCTCGGTTGCAGGATAATTAACAAGCAGTTTCTTCAAAAGGTGGATAAAACACACACAAGACTACTCACTCCAGTGCAGCTGTCTACTATAGCCCTGTTCACTTGCAAACATCTGGCAGCATAGAATAATCATCCTTCAAGTCAAGTGACCTAACACCATTTGCACGCTACCAGCGCACACCAAGAGCACATGAATGCTGTTTCTTACGGAAGCTAGAAAGGCCCTGGGAAATGGTTGCTCTGGATTCAATTTAACCAAAGCTGTCAGAAATTATTTAGCACCGCAGGACTGCACACAGAAGCCATAACTGTAAATGCCTGTAAACAACTGGAGCTAAGATAGATAGTTGTCAGGGGAGCAGAAGAGACCTTTAATAAAGAGAAAAGCCAGCTGGAATTCCTGCTGAAGGATGAGAACCTCACCTGAAGCAGCTGAGCCTTTACAAGCCTGCCTGCATTGCCTTTCAGTTGTCAGCCTGTTTATCTGCACTATATGGACTCCTCTTCCTTTCAGGACAGGAAATCGGTTCTCACATATACAGAAGGAAAACAGCAGGAAGAATACAACGGCAGTCCACATCTTCAGGGTTGCCTTGCCAGGAGGCTTCTCTTTCGAGGAGCCTGTAGCACAGTAGAATGCTTTCTTGTATCACCTTCAGATCCACTGCAACATACCTACAAAGAAAAGAAAGTGATTGATTTATATCAAAAGGCTACACTTGAAGTGTTTTACTAAATACACTCATCAGAAAGAATGACAGTAAAATGTGCATAAGGCACAGGCAGGTATCACTACCAGGATTAACATACTGATAATGAAGCAGAGGCAGAAAGAAAAAAGCCTATTCCCAAATTCACCGGTCTTTCTTTGGAAACAGTACTTTGCTCTCCTTTTCTCAGATATCACCAGAAAACAACTCAACACAAAAGCTACAAGCAGTGGGTTATACTTTATTCCTTTATTTTCCCTAATGTTGCAAGGCAAAGACGTTTTAAAGAAAAATGTGAGATTTATCATTTGCAGTCAAGAACAGCATCAAGAACAGGAAGAGCTCTGTTGTCTCTTGCTCTGACTTCAGCTGGAGAAGTTTATCTGACAGCTGTCAGACAGTCGGTGTGCACAAAGCTGAACTCAAAGCCCACAGCAACACAGACAATGCCTTTTGGCTCATCCTGGAACCCTTCATGTTGTTCCCAGGCTCAGCAGAAGCATTTTGACCAGCTTGAGAACACTGATACTATAGGCATCTATATAATAACAACGATAATAGTAATGATAATATAGGCAGTCCTGGACTATGCCCAGGACACCCTGCCTTTACACCAAGCCAGTCCAAACCAAGAATCAGGTTTGGTTCATTCCTGCTTCAATTTTCCTGCTGATTGTCAAAAACATCGATTCAAAACAAGCAAGAGCCAATAATTCACATCTTCCGAGGTGCTACACAGACATCAGCTGTTAGTGAGGAAGACCCACACCCACAGTAAGCTTTCATTTCCACACATAAAACAATAAATAGGCAAAGCATTTTCTTCACTCCCAATGAACACAAGAGACTTCTGTCTCCGTGGATGAGCTGTCACCCTGGCACTGGAGGAACTGGAGGAACTCCTACTGACGTCAGAGCAGATCACCAGCTTCTATCTAGATTTACCCTATTGTTTCCAAGATTTTCTTTAAATTTTGTATGAACAGGTACTTCCAAACAATCCAGCCTGAACCAGACCAAACATTGGCCTCTTCCCTAAGTAGTTTTTCAGCACTTCCCTCAGTGCTGAAGCACGCTTTAGCTCTCATCCTGCAGTTAGACCTGAACATGCTATCAGACATTTAGACTCAAAACTCAAGGCACAGCAGCACGGCTGCTTTGTGTGGGTGGGTTTCTCACTCCAGACAGAAGTTCAGGCCTGGGTTGTCCCAGCTGGCAGATGGAAATATTTCTGAGAAGTCTGGTGGGGAAAGGCAGCTCACCAGCCCCATCTAGTCCTGCCTGCCAGGGAATGCACTAGCTTTACAGCCAGCCCCAGCTCGGCCGAGGGCTCTCTGGCTTTTCCAAGGGTGGGCTAGAAGGATTTGAAACAGAATCAACACAAGAGAGAAGCCCTGGGCAATGCACAACTGCAGCGCCCTGCAACACAGCATGCTGACATCTGCAGCTCAGGAAAGCAGTTCCACGTTTTCATAAGTCTGAGTCTGGGAATCTGAAAGGGGAAATAATTCGTGTTACTCCATCAAAGTAACTTCAATACTTACCCCACTGCTCTGAATTGCGAGGCACTTCCACATAGTTTAACCATAGAAAGCTCCAGCTGACAGTAAGGAAAAGGGGAAGATGTAAAATACTCTGCCTGCAAGAGACGTTTTCCTAGAGCAAACCGATCTCTACAGCTGACAGCCAGAAAAAGGCTGCTTTAAATTCTGAATCCTTCAACCTAAAAGCAGGCAATCTGGGGTTCCCTTGCAGACACTGTAGGTACTTTATCAAGATACTCAGAGCACTATTTGTCAATGCTACACAGAAACAACTGCAGGGTTTTTTGTTTAAGTTCACAGGCAGGGATTTAGCAAGCAGTACCTGGCCCACAGGAAAAAAATATAGATCTTAACATGTAAGTTTTACATTTTAAAGAGAGCCCTGTTTATGTCTGCAGTAAACTTCTCAAGGTAACAACACTTACAAGAAGTTATATTTTATAGCCTGAAGTGTCAACAGGAATGAACTGGCTGTGCAATAAATGTATGCATTGACCTTTTTTTATACAAAAAAATGGAACAGCAATGAATACAAATACAGAGAGCTCTCTATTATAGATGTATCACTTAACATTATTTTTGTAATCACAGTAAGCAATCCCAAAAGAGCAAGTCTCCCATTACAGTTCCAAAATGCAGATATAGCAGTGTTTCAGTTACCACTGCATGACTCCCAGCCTTGACCCAGGCACTCATACACTTACTTGTACAATCGTGCATTAATCACACGAGGCCTAGAAGCTGTTGTGTCAGCACAGATAACTGTCCCCCACACAGAAGTGCCTTGTGTCCCCAGCCACATTGCCAGGCCAGAAGCCCCTGCCAGCCAGTCCCAGCTGACTTCAGTCCCATGTAACTACAACAGCTCCAGCAAGCAAAATCCCAGTAAGTTCCTCTCACCCCTTCCAAAGCACCTGGGAGCCTTTCTGGATTAGGCCAGCACCAGTAACAGAGGACAGACTGAGCTCAGCCATGAGAAATGCCTGCCTTCAGTGCAGTTCCCCCCCTTCCCTCTCAGGGAGCAGTCTCCTCAGGGCCAAGTGATGCTCGTTACAGTAACGTGAGCATTAAGCTGAACACTCCCTGCTCTTCAAGACCCAAAGCCAAAACGCAACAGCCCAAAGCTCTCAGGAGCACTTTATGAGTGGTGCAGAGTGTTCAGGTCACAAGGGTGACCTACCACAGAGGGTCCCAACTGCAGAAGAACTGAATTTGGACCATGTTTGGGGCTCTCAAAACATACAGAGAACAAGGAGACACCATCGTGGAGGCTTTCAAAGACACACTGTGCCTGACCTCAGGCAACACAGCCATCCCCTTAAGTGCTGCACCCAGTGCTTGGCAAAAGCACACCCTGTGCTCGCTCAAGTGAGGGGTTCAACATCTCATGCTGCAGCAAAGCACGTGCAAAGCCACCCCAGTGAAGTGCTTAAGTTGCTCCAGTGAGTACCAGTACCACAACCATAATCCTCTTCCAGAACACAGTGCTGTTTTCTAAATGACGCCCTGATGCCAGCCAGGGGATAATCAGACACAGTCATACCTTAAACACAGTCCAGATGACACTTGGGATGCTGTATCAAATACCAGAACCTCCAGCCAGTGCATTGTTGGGGGTGTTTTTGCCTCTTTTACCTTCGCACAATCTCATACATCTATAGCAGGAATCACAATTACTTACAGATCATTTTTCCCAACGTAACCACTGCCTTTTATAATTACAAACAATAGGCCTTACTTCCCCCTTCCCCTCACACTTCTAACCAGTCCCACATGGCTCCATTTGTGCTCCAACAAATTCCACAGAGCGTTCACCCCACACAGCTACATCCCAGAGAAGTACTAGCTAAAGCTTCCCCTCCAGGTCATGCTGCTCCTCAGATGAAACCATTCTCTGGTATAGTCAGAGACAACATGAGAGATGAACATTACCATTCCTATTGGAAGCAATTTTGAGAAATCAGAGCAAAATTCACACTGAGCGCTACCTTTTCCATATGTAAAGCATTTCCAAGGAAATTAAAAGTCAAACCAAACCACAAAAGCCAGTGAGTGAATAAAATCTGGGAAAAGACTACACTCTGAGAAGTGCAAAGTTTACTTTTACCATCTGCGGCTGTAACTCAGTGGGGAACAAGCACGCTGGAAAACCAGAATAACTTTGAGTCAACAACTGAATGACTGATGACTTTGCAATGTACACACACAACCAGAAGGCGCTGCCTGCTGGGTTTCCAAAGTGTTCCTCCCTTCTTGCTGATTTCCCTGTAGTTGAAGCCAAAGAATCCGGAAAAAAAAAAAAAAAAAAAGTATTGTTTCAAACAACATCTACTTGATTGGGGGTGATGTTGCAAGAGCCTTTGGAATATAAACCCTTCGTCTCCATGCCATCCCAGCCTCAGATGCTCCTGGTTAAGCAGCTGTAAGGTGCATGCAGCGACTGGACACAGGTGGAGCCCGGCATGACAAAAGGAGAGAGGCAGAGCTAGAGAAAAACATGGAACAAGGGAGAGGGGCTGTTAGAAATCAGAGGTGTGAAGTACGCAAAGAAAGCAAGTCATTTAGGGCAACATGTGCTCCCTTGAGCTTCAAAGAGTCAGCAGACTGCTCCAAAACCCATAACAACATGAAATGAGGTCAGAGAGCTGCAAAGAAGTCATTTTCCATTTCCTCAGAGCATCTCTGCCTGTTTCTGACAGAAGGTGGAAAGGAAACCTTGAGATTTAGCATCCTGCTGGGTAGGAAGGCACAGAGCAGGCAGCGCACAGTATGGACTTGCTACAGAGGAATCCAGAGAAAGGCCACAGCACCCAGCACGCTGAACTGCAGGTACCGTGGTCTCTTTTCACTGCCAGGAAGACTCCCATGCAGTTCACACTCCCTCAGGCTGGGCCAGAGCCGAAAGCAACTGAACGAGACTCCTTGTCCTTCAGGGAAATAACACGAGGACACAGCACAGGATCGTGGGGTCCTCAGGGTCACAACAAAGCAGGGAAGACAAGGGCAGAATACACACCATAAATAACGGTGCTATGTCTCCCATTAAATTAAAAAGACATAAGGCCTGGATTCAGCTTGCAATTGCTGCTAAATATTTCATGTGCCATCAGCTCTCAAAACGAGTGCTATATTTCACTCTTTGGAAAACAGAATTAAACCAGGCTTTGCTAAGGAAAGACAAGCACATCTCGTTTTGTGAATTGAGGCCAGAACACAGGAGGCAAAAGAATCTGTGCTGCAATCTTAGGAGCATTTGGCTTTCCAAGTTTCTCTCTGAAATGGCACACATGTACAGGTTTGGAGACAGAAGGGGCAGCACCAGAGTAAATGAGGCTGATTTCTGAATCACATTTGCATCAGTAAGGCAAGAAAAAGGGATGAGAATAATGGCAGGAAGCTACTTATCCCAGCAACAAAACTTCACTTTGGTCATGATTTGTATCTGTAACCGTGTCTGTCACACATGAATTATAACAGCCCCAAAGCAGGTTGAGAATGTGCAGGAACAACAACGCTTTGTTACTGTGCTAGAGAAAAAATAGCCGGCCCTTCAGATCATTTGAAAATGATTTAACTACATTATGCAAAGAACCTGCCCCAGAGCAAGTAAATATAGCTTGAATTGTGGGTTCAAAGCCTCTGTTAAAATGTTCTCCCCTGCATCTCCTGTTGAGTCACCACCCATGGTCAGCAGAGCACGGCCAGATGAAGTCACATCGTGCTCTCAACAGCAGCTTGAAAGCCATCAAGTTCCTTTGGTCTCCAAGGAAAGTTAATTACAAAGGTGTTTCTACAAAATGTCACGTGCCATAAACACAGACAGAGCTGAGCAGAGGCTGTAAAGCAGTGTTATGAATTATAGGACTGCAAACACATCACTGATGACTGGGAAGGGGATCCCTGCTCCGGGCACAGTTCCTGTAACTGTACTTCACAAAGCTCGTGAAGCTCCCCACTTCCTTGGAAAAGGCTGCAGTGGTCAAAGGTCTGCTCGCTGCTCCAGGACAGACTCTCCATGCCCCCATTGTTTCTCCAGCATTAACAAAACGCTCTGCTGGGAGGGTGACTGAGATGGGACAGGCAAGATTCTACACTCTGAGGGAGTTTTGAAGAAAATTGTGCATAAAAATCAGTCATGAATACATAGGCCAGGCTAGGCTCGGGACCAACAAGCTGAATCTGATCAACACCTGGCATTGACATGAGCCCAGAAGCACATTCAAGGCTCCTGCTGGTGGAGGAGAGTGATGTGTAAGAACGGCTCGTTTTCTACAAGACTTACCTGAAATAGAATCTTTTTGTTCCAAGAAGTAACTTCTGAGAAAAGGTTGGTAGGTAAACATCTCCCTGCACCTCACAGGGAACCAGACCTTCCCACAAAGAGGAGCACGTTCCTGATGCTTGATGTTGATTCTGCAACACCAGGACACAAGTTACACGTCCTCTGAAACACAATGCAAAGAGCAAACATTGCCAGCTCAAGCCCAGAAGAATGTCATTTATATTCCTTCTCCTGTTACACAGCTTCCTCAGAGCATAACAGCACACAGCTGGCTACGTATTACAGAAGAGCTGGCACATCCTTCCACATTAGCAGGCACTCCTTACTGCAGCTGGTAGGACAGTGTTAGACATCAGTAAGGTCTGCTGCTGCTTTTCTGATGTTTCTCCCTATACATGTCCACTAAAATGGCTTTGTATGACACATACTTTTTTTTTTTTGCCTGAGTCCACAAAGACTCCACCATACAGACTCCTAAGGACAAACCACTAAGTGAAAACATTTTAATTAAGCAGTCACAAGATTATACATCCTCCCTGCCCCTAAATGTGAGCCCCCTCATTCAGTCCCATCTTATTTTAGTCCCCATCTGTGGCTCAATCTCCCACCAACCCACACGGCACACAGCAAAGGCAACTGCAGCGTTTGCAGAAACATTCACAAGCTGCAGGGAATGAGCCCAAAGATGCCAACAGTTGCCAACTATAAACTCAAAAGAACAGAGCATCCTTGTTCAGAGTCATCACCACCCCTCCAAATTCACGTCTGACCAACTTAGATGGATGTTAAGCTAGAAAGCAAGGGATAATCCACAGCCACTGAGCAGACAGCCTCTGACAAGGCTGCTTGAACTGCTGCAGCCTCTGAAGACTGGCATGGAAATGGTGATCTTTGAAAGAAATTTGCAGCTGCTACAGTATTTGTCCAGCTGCCACTTATTACTCCCTGCAAGAAAATCTATTCTTCTGCTTGTAAATGGCCAAATGTTTAATACGACTTCCAAAATGTCCTACATAATTAAAACAAACATTTTAAAGACTCTCTAAGAGGGGTGGAACTCCAAGATTTGCTGAGAAGCTCTGTGATTAAACTGGGGCTTGGCTGACACGTGAAAATTTCCCAAGTATAAAGCCCTTCAGGCTCCACACTGACAAACTGATGCTGTACACCACGGGCTGTGCTCTGCAGAGCTCCCTGGGAGCAGCAACAGGGAGAAGCAGCTGTGCAAGGTCAGCAGCTACCATGCTCCACAAGGAATGGAGAGACATCTCCCTGCAACAGGCAGATTAATCACAGGGTCTGAATGTCAGACCTCATATAGACAGATAAAGGGCTATATTCTAAAGGTTCGAGACTTTCAGCGACTCTTCCCACACTCCTTTCCCCACAAATAACGCAGAGGGGAAGGAAGTTTTTGTGGTTACAGCCCATGTCTGACAGTTGACAAAACCAGAGCTCAGGTTCCTTCCCCACTTCCAGCTTCCCATGGAAGCAAGGCAGTGCTACTGACTCACAATCTTGGGCAGATAGAGCCCTGGTGGTTTTTGTGGTTGTTCTTTTTTGGTTAGTTATGTTTTGAGTGTTATCAGCTTGACTCATCTACATCACTGACTGCCTCTGTCTTTCTCCACCTCAGTTCCCCACCTGCACTCCCCACTTCTTCCTCTGAGCACAGGGCAGCTCACCCAGCTCTTACCTAACTCATGAGAAAAGCCCACGCTGGCACCGCTGAGGCTTTATGCCCATCACAGGTTACCTCTGACAAAACAAACGTTAAAGCCTAAGAACCAGGAATTTCCCCACCTACCACCACCCACCATCCTTCTTCGCCCACATTCACTGCCAAGTTCTGCATTTCACTTGGTGAGAACTACTACTCTGCAGGACTTTTCCTGTGAAAAGTGACTGGACAGCTGTTTCATTTGTGAAAATATGGCTCGTTTTGGAATATCTGAAACAATCCCATTTTAATATAAAGAAAAATGAACTGCCAAATGCTAACTGCATAAAGCTGGGTCTGGACAATAAATCTGTCAACACAAATTCTTCCAAGGAATAAAAATGTTTGCTATGGCAAAACTGCAACCTTCCCTAGCATAATCCATACCCCCAGAAAAAAAAGATAGCAAAGGCTGCTGTCTCATTGGGACAGGAGATTGTACTCAGGGCATCTGCTACCACGTGTTTCAAATTAAATAGCTTTCAACACCACCCAAAAAGAAACCACCCCAGAACTCCGCAGCCAGCAAGCTAATACAGATCAAATACCCTTCTACGTGGGTAGGAGGCAAGCTCATGTTTTTGGGCTCTAAGTACCTAGAGAAGCATTTACTTTGCAGTACAAGTGCTTCATGCTTCCTGATAGATGACATTGGAAGCCAGAAGCAGCACTCCCATGTTAAAACACAGCACGCACACTCAGAACTGCTCTGAGCTGCTATTAAATTGGAAACTCCCAAGTCCGGAGTTAACAGAGACTTAAGAAGGGATTTCAGCCTGAAGGCACAATTAACCAGCTGTTACTTCTCAAACAAATAAAACCACAAATGTGTTAAATGTCTGGTCACTCACCCACCTCCTGGCCCAGCAGAATTTTTACAAGTCAGCAATTTGCTAGCAATATGGGTCAGGTTAAACTGCACTGAAGCTAATAGTTTCAAATGTCATCTTTCACTTCAGATATTTTTGAGAAATCATTATGCTCTTCTGTAGGTTCAGGTAGCTGTAATGCTAATTTTAGGCATTTAGAAACAGAACACCTCTACCTAGAGCACACGGGTCTGCAGATTTGCTCAGAAATTTAAGTCTGCGCATGGTTTTGAGCAGGACCATGCTCAGAAGTGATAGCACCCGACATTAAAGGCATAAGGCAACACCATGGAGAGCTCAGAAAGAGAAGTTCAGACAGCACAGCAATGGTCAGAGTATGGTCCCAGTACAATGACTGAAGGGGAACTTTTGCTCAACACTAGAGGAACTGGGTTTAAGGAGAGCATTTTTGGATCTCTTTTCTCTGATCTTCACACAAATCCTAAAATATGGAGAGTTAAATCAAAAGATTTAATTCAAAACCCAGCCTCCACTGTAAGTTATTTTCGAAAGCAAAACAACTCAAAAACCTCCATCTTTTTAAACTATAAAACTAGTTAAAAGACAAAGGTAGCTTTATGTGGAAGGGCTGCCAGGTGAGATGCAGCAAGAACACATTATCACACATTCCAGGTTATCACAAACCAGTCTGACACAGGGGAGCTTTTCACTGTATATATGTTGACACAAATCAGAGGATTTGTCCCAAAATCTCCAAGCCAGGAAGACATTCATAGCAATAACAAATAAAGGTTGCTGCCCACAGGCCTCACTGCTTTCTGATTTTGATGGCTTAAAAGATGTGGAAATCACCAGACATGGTGGGTGCAGAAGATTAACCACATCTATTTTTCTAAACAACGGGAGAATCAAATTCAATAGCAGCTCTCCTAATCCTTACTGGCCCTCCCTGTGGGAGGTTCCTAGCCAACAAAAGTCTTCTGTAAGCCATACATGAACCTAAACTTCAACCCAACAGTCATCTGAACATACAGGTGATACATACATCCTTCCCTCTCTGTACTCACTGATTTCTGTGGCTGTCCAGGCAGCACTTGTCGAAGTACCAGCCCAACTCAGCACCACCGAGCTGGCTACATGGGCTGGGAGTAAGGCACCCCCAGCTGCTCTGACCCTCTCTGCAGGTTCTCTGCTCTTGGGTGACTCATCTCCTACGTAGCAACTGATGTGCTCACTCACCTCATTCCACATTCCCTCCTTGCAGTTTCAGAGGAACTTAAATAAGTTTTGATTACTGACACCAATTCATTAAGTAAAATAACCTTGGCTTGAGCTCCTTAAAGCTTTCCTAGTACGAGCACCTTTGTATAAAGCGCATTTCATTCAAAGAAAAGGGACTGCACAGGCAGCAGCAAGTTTTTCTGAACCCTTCTGAGCTTGATATAGAAGATCCATCTATGATGCTGCTAACAAGGACCCCAAAACCATTTCACAGAGTGACCTGAGTACCAGGTCTGCTTTATCCTCCCACCTACCCTATTTGATCAAATAAGATACTACCATTATTTTGAAATTTTGCCTCAATAGAGTAGAACTCTGCTTCTAGTAGAGAATGTCCAGTTCCTTTTTTTCCCTCTTCCTCCTTCGTAGAACCAGAGAAGCGGGTCTGATCTTCATAAAAAGAATCACCAAGACAAACACAGTTCAAATTGATTTCATCAACATAGATGCTTTTTATCAACTTATATTCTACAGCAGGAAAATTGCAATTGCAAAACACAGCTGGAAAAGATATGTCTCAAACTGATGGGATCTTTCTCCTAAAGGAACCCACACAGACTTTTGTGTAGCTCTGCTAAGTATTTCAATATGTTACACGTTTCTATCCTTATCCTATGGACTCCTGAAGACTGCCACTGGCTGTTACTTTCTCTCTTCACTTCCAAACACAGACAGACCCAGCAGGCTGAGATATGATACATACCTGAACACAGATTTCAACCAGATTTTCAACACTATTGCATGCCTATTAGAATAACATCCCTTTGAGTAGTACTTTGCCTTTCACTTATTAGAGAGATTTCTGCTCTGAAAAACAAAGCTAAAAGTCCTCTCTCAACTTGGAACACCTTGGCTCAAAACAAAAGAAAGCAGTTAGGCTTACTTCTCCAGTTGCGTCCTACGAGCAGCAGCACAGACTGAATCCATTAGAAACTCTTGGCTATTGATTTTATGCCAAAAATATTCTTATCCTGTGATGAAGGGAACACTGGACTAGAAATGCCAAAAGAATAACAAGAATAGCCCACCACAGTCCAAAAATGAGGTCAGCATACACTAATTATCTGAGTCAAGAGACTGCCCTGGGGGAGGCTGTCCAAGCATTGACAACAAAAACGAGGATAAGGACAAGTCTGTGAAACCCACACTACAAGTAGTAACTCTTATCACTCTCTTCAATACACTGAACAGTGTTTTTTGAAGAATTCAGCTCCAGCCAAATCCAATACAAACCAGTCTGATCCCATCCATAATTCCCCCAAAGGTCAGGAATCAACAGGTGGAACAGGCTGTGATTTAATGAAATCAAACACAAAACGAAAGGCATGTCAAGAATTAAGCAATTCACACTTGAATTAACATGTACTTCCTGCTGACCAAACGCCACCTTTTGTTCCAAATCCATTTTGTTGTAAGAGTCTTCGCAAACCTGGAATGAGAAGAGGCTGTAAATGCTGATGAGTGGGGACACAGGCAACTAACACCAGGGAACAACATTTTTTCAGCCTCCTCCCTCAAAGCAAGTTTAGGATCCTCATAACTATATATCAGACAAGTTCACCACATGGGACAGACAGTCTATCAGCTGGCTGCTGGGGCCTCCACCCACAAACCCACCCTTGCCCTCTTGGCAGCTCTTGCTCCTGTTAAAGGCTGTTTAGCTACGCATGAAGCAGCCCTGAATCACACCAGTAAACCGGGCAGGTTGACAGCCAAGTGCACAAATGAGCTGACACCAGCTCAGATTTCCTTGATTCAGTACAATGTGATTTGTGGTAAACCAAAATCTGCCCCATAAACAACAAAGTCATCCATACAGAAGGACAGGAACCTCAGAGTGATAACATATGCCCTGGCAGAAGGAACAGCTACAGCCATGAAAAGATAAACCCTTCCCAATTGTCAGAACTTTTATCCTGCCGGGTGGGAGGGATGCTTTCACTTACTCTCACAAGCAAGTGAAGGCTTTCTTCCCAATCTGGTAAGGAATTGCTTCAAAAACCTATCATTATTCTTTTAAGATATTATATATGCCAAGACAAAGATAACTGTCTACACCTATGAACTGTATTTACTTCTTAAATCATCCAAAAACCTTGAAGATTACAGAGGAGATCACAGAAAACTCTGGAGGCATCTTTTAAGCAAACGCATGGATCAGAGGGCCAGCAGTCTTCTTTTCAGGTTCCCTCTCTGCTGTGCGTCAGTTCATTGCAGAACCCTCAATCTCTTCTCAGTATTCGAGGGAAAATGGTCCTGTGTGGAAGGCTGCAGCTGTCTTACTAAGAAGCTGGAAGCAAAACTCCCAGCTTGTTCCTGATGCCAAACCTCACCACCAGAAGGCAAAGAGGCAGAGAAGGTTGGTTCCTTGAGCCTTAACGTATTATTGGGCCAAAGCCCTATGAAGAAAGGTAACAACCAATACCAACTTTTCACCTTTGTCAGCAACTGGAGGGCATCAGGCTTCAGCAGCATGAATCTCACAACTTCCAAGCATGAACAAAGAAGAAACAGAGGGGACACTTCCACTGCCTGTTGGGCAACAGCCCTCAGCTCTTCCAGCTCTCTTCTGTCATTCCAAAGTTAACGTCTGAACAAACAGAAGTCAGCCCTGTGCCCAGCATGCAGAACTCAAACTGTGCTGCAACAAGCTACACTGAGTTCTGACAAAACTTCTTTAAAAGATGTACTTTGGCCTTTCACACAGAATCCTGTCTTTAGGCTTACGTGAAATGAACCAACAGAGCAAATCTTAACATCAGATTTCAACAAGGATCAAACCCTACGAAAACCTGTCAAGGTATAAAAAAAGGTTAGTTTTCTTTCAATGCAGAAAGGACTGGACAACAATCAAACTGGGACACTGAGAAAACCTCTTTGAAACCAGAAGCTGTGACCAAGTTGCACATCCTGTTACATACCATGGCTAGCCTGCACCTAAAGAGAGCAATGACCCTTAGCCATCATCAACAAAATACTTGCATAAGTGGTGCATTTAGCCAAAGCATGAACTAACCTGAAAACTTACCTCAAAGCTTGATGACAAAGCAATCTTGTGAAACTCATCTCTTCCTCCTGTCCACCACCCCCTGTGCCAAACCCTGCTCAGGCAAACACCACTCAAGTGCCACGTGAAGTTATTGCAAACCATCTGGGTCAAACACAGACTCCCTTCCTCTCAAACCACAGTTCCCTTTCTGTAAAGGCCAAGCAGCATACCAAAATGCTACTTAAGTACACCCTGAGGGAATTAAATTTGCCTTCAAGAAATTGATTCACCTACAGCACAGGAATTAAGAAGCAATTCAGGTGATATTTATTCTGCTCGTTTAGGAGGTAAATTACAATGTTATATCAGACCCCTTATCATTTGCAAGAAGTACATAAATTATCCTAATGTCAGTAACCATGAATACTTCATAAAGGGCCACAAGAACAGGGGTTCTCCATCAGAGGAGGCTCCACCCCACATTCAGGGTCCTAATTCAGAGCAATGACAGCAGAGACACATGCGAGCTCCAGCAGGGCAGAGAAACACCATCAGCTCTGCCAGCTGTACCTATAGTTAAGTATGCAAGCATCCACAGAAGGATTTAACAAAGCTATTATAACAACTCGTATTCCTGAGAGCTGGTATGGAATGAATAGTCAAGTAACCAGTACTTTTAGCCTTCAGTGCAAGGATCTTCACAAGTGTGGAGAAATTAAATGTTTCCTCTGCCCTAGGAAGAAGTGATCTTCTCCACGAGCTTCTCCACCAAAAAAAAAAAAAAATAATCAAGTTTCTTTCTCACTCAGTTTCTGCAGCATCCAAGCCACTTTACAGGAGCGCACTTATATTTCAATTGCCTGGAATTGTATTGTCAGGTAAATCTGCCTAAGCAGATAACATAGCAGAAAGAGAACCCTACAGAATGAGGATTAGATGTTCACACCTTATTTTTTGTTCTTATGACAGGCATCTCAGAAAGAATTAGGTTTCAAATCTTGCTTACCAAATCCTCTAGCACTGAAAGGCAAAGATAGGAAACTCTTTCCACATACTAATGCCTATAACATCAAAGAAACTGTAACCACTTCAACTGCATGCCCACCATCTAGTCTTTGATTCTTAGAGCTGCTGCACATTTCCTCCATTTCCCTCAGGCAATAACTTTCCTGGAGACAAGAGAAAAAGTTAACCTAGTCATTAACAACAGAGCCCTCGTTCTGCACTGCACCTCTGCAGGGCAAAGATCAGAAGTGAATACAGGACCTTTTTGCAAGTGCTCACCTGTACACAGGACTTCAGCCATTGATGTCTTCAGCAGGAGCAAAGCAGATGTACTAACAACAGGTCAAGGGCATGCAGTGTTTTACTGGAACTGTATAAAGAAATAGAACTGTTAGCTTTAAGCTGGCATTACAAACTCTTTCCAAGCTACAGTAACAAAAGCCATTTATAGGGGCAGAAATACAGTGGTAGAAATAGTTAAGTTTCCTGACAGCATTCATGCTAGTATCTTTTATTTGTGTCTAACAACAGGATTTGTACATTAGTTTGCCAAGATAGAAAGCAAACTGTTTACACTCAGTCCTAACATCTTTGTTCACTCAGTTTCTTCACCTCAACCTTGCTGTCAGGGTGGCAACAGAGGTAATGTACACACACAGGCACATTAAAACCACCTGTGGTCTCCTGCATCACCATCTCTTCCATGTCTAATAGATTACTACAATAAATATGCGCATGAATTTTGTTTCACAAATTCTCTCCTTCATCCAGATATCCTTTACAAAGATGAATCATTGCCATTGGACACATGAAATATGTTCACTGGATGGCATTCACTGTATGTTGAGCAGCAGCAACTGTAAACGTGAATGCTTGAGTGCACTGTGGGATATACCTCATGAATCACAATTTTGGAGCACATACTTCAAATCCAGAAGGAACCTCTGCTGATTTCAATACTGCTCTGCAAATAAATGGATTTGCCCCAAGACATGCAACAAGCTAAGAGCTCATTTAGCACAAGGATTTGCAGTTCTCAGTCAGCTCCCAGAGGACCACTTACTTGCCCACTCCACAGTTTGCATTACATCTGTTTCCAGTTTCAGAGGGGTCAGAGACCAAGCGTAGAACACACAACACAGAAAGAACAGCTTGCTAACAGTATTGAAACCTGCAGCTGCAAGGCAGAGGAAAAACAACCCGCCCCCCCGCCAGGCGTTTTTGATTTTATTCTAAAACTCTTTCATTCAGCTATTCCTTCTGAGGATGGTGTTGTGGATGAAACTATACACCTCACTCATATGAGAGAAGCAGTTATGTATTTATTAACGTGTTGCAATCTAACAAAGCTTAATTGTAAATAAGACAGCGACTTAAGATTCAAGACTGCAAAATGCACTTGATTAAGAGGTAAGGAGCCTCCGTGTGGCTGTATCCACTCCTAGCCCCAGGCTTGTTCGATGGTTTATGTTTAAGGATTAGATGTGCACAAACAAAGATATAATCTTACCGAAGCCTGCAAAGTTTAGCAAGCTATTAATCACTAACCAAGGATCTGTTGTGGTAAGGAATCTAGCAAGGAGTAAGGGATGCAGCAAGCTTAACCTGAGAGGCATCCCTACGCAAGAGGAGATCCTGTCATGCAACCAGCTGCCACGCAGAAATGCTCCAAGGGCTCTTGGCCTGCTCACTATTTATGGGGTAAAAAGAGTTCCTTTATTAAAGCCTCTTCAGGTCCAAGAGTGACAGAAACACACATGAAGATTCACATTAATTACTGTGAAATCCTAGTGACAACATCATTTTCATAGATCAGCTGGGACAGTTTTAGAAACAAGAGAACAGACATAACCTTAGAGAAAATTAGTCTCAGAAGGAAAAACCCTGATCAGCACAGCTGAGACAAGCATTACAAAGTTTACAGCAACACTTTCTGTTTATTAACAATCAGACTAGCATCCAGAAGAGTGTTTGTAGAGATTTAGGAAGTAAATGGGGATGCTCTTTGCTCTGACACTGGGAATTTGACCTTATCACTGGATGCTTCTCAACCATCAGACACTCCCATCCTTAACTTGCTCAGTAAGTCTCCTGTTCGTTGTTTGGGGGAAGAAAGAAAGTTTATTCCATGACATTTTCCAACACGCTCTCCTTTTTGATTAGATATAGGAACTGAAGGGCAAACACTCCCTTCAGTGTAACTTCTGTCAGAGGGGGAAGGTGTTTAACTCTTCCAGCAAAAGGATAAGCTGATGATGTCAACAGTTTGCACACAGCTTTGCTGACACACATACAGCAGCTTAACCTTTGTAACACCTATCAGTCCGTAATGCAACAGGGCATCGGTTCAAAAGAACACAGTGGAGGTAAGACTGACCAAGCCTCCCTTATCTCACTGGGAGAAACAGGAGGCATGAGAAGACTGAACAGTCTCCTGTTGATCCTATAGCTGGAAGCAGTCAGAGCTGGAAATGAAAATCAATCCTGTCTCTTCACATCCAGCTTAGTGCCTGGGTCTACTTTTCGTATGGGAGCATATACAAACAAAATGTCATTAAGGGCATTGCAGGAATGAGCAGAAAAACCTGCCGCAGGGTTCATATTTTCTGAAGAGAGGGAAAGGAAGTTTTCTTATAATGTTTTTTACATACTTACACACATAAAAAATAGTCAAGAGTTAGATTCAGAAGAAAATGTATTCTTCCTTTCCTCATTTCTCAGTGTAAACAGGTAACACAAATGCATTACACAGTCTCCTTTCCAATTAATGGCTTACTTGATTTTAAATAGATCCCCTGTATTTCCCTTCAATCTGTTTGCATTCATAGCATTAAGTCCTTTATTGCCTGTTCTTCAGCGTATTCCCAGTTCACAAATCGGTACAAATTTTGTCCTAGCTTATTTGGACACAGTTCCTGCTAACTTCAACCAATTCTCCCTCTCCTAATGGACTTGTTCCACACCAGTTTCAGATCCGTCCAGATGGCATGAAAAAAAATCATTTTGAGGGTAGAAACCTACCAGGCTAACACTTAACTATGACTTGCTGTCAGAAGTTTTGGGGCCTTTAGGGGAAGCAAAAGCTAAAAAAAGCCTGGATACAGAAGGACTACAGCTGAAAGCTCAGAAGAAAAAAAAAGCATGAAGAATTACTGTATGCAGCCAGAGCCATATCCCTGAGACTGTCAAAGCATTTGCACAAAGAGATAGATGAGCAGAGAGGTTTATCCTGCTTTTTAATACAGAGAAGCCAGACAAAGAAAGATAGAGAAGAAGACCCACCAAAAGAACATGCTTAATCCTATTAAAATTAATGAGATTTCAGCCTGGTCTCCACATACAAGTTGTATTGGGAGTTTAACTTAAGTGGATTTAAACACAGATTTAGTTAAAGTGGTGCAAATTCTCCCTATGCTCAATAAACAAACCCAGCACAAATATACACGCAAAATTCAAAGAGAATATTCATTCATTTCACCAAATTGTTTTTCTCCCTCCATTTTTTTAAAAAGGCAAACTTAAAACCTTTGCACCTCCTCTGTCTGAAGTGCATGCTCAAGTGTTTTGCTGAACTACTGCATAAAAGCAGTTGTCCAGGCTGAGCACCAATTCTGCTGGCGCTTAGGGAAGGCAATCCCAATGATCTTTTCCTCCATTTCCTCCTCTCCACTGGTGCAAGGATGCCTCTCCTACCTACCCAGCAAGGCAAACGTTTGTGGTTGTGCTTTGTACTACACAGCAATCTACCTAAAGGACTCAGCAAGGCCTACAGCCCAAGTCTGCCTGCATGCACATAGAGATAGCCCCTGATCCTAAATAAGTTAAAGCGGACGCAGGCCTATCTGGACAGCTAGGGAACGAAGGAAGGATTTTGCTGCAACGATGAAGTGACTTGATTTGCTCAGCTCATCAGCACAAGGACCGAGCTGAGAATCCACACTGCTGGTGCTCGGCCCTCAGTTCCTTCCTTCATACCACCTTTTCCTACAAGAAAAATTAACAAGTGCCCCAATGTGCTCTCCAAACAGTTGGCAAGTTATCACTTGAACTTGGAGGAAAGGACATGATGGAAAATCCGGGCTTGGGCTGTCCTTTGTCACAGGGACAGCACATTACGTGAAGCGAGATGAGCTCTCCCACCACAGCAAGGCAGTCCCTGCAGAGGCAGCTGGAGGATCCTGTTCCAGCCCTCGTCCCATCTGATGACACTGCAGCAGCTCGGTGTCACCACAGATGACACCCCCGCTCCTCAGTGCTGGAATTCAAGATCTGATCCTGGAGGCAAAGCCCACAACAGCAGAGAAAAAACAAAGGTAGTGGAAGACTGCCAGAAGCATTGGCACCTACGCTGACTGACATTCAAAACTGACTGCAGGAAACCTCACTTCAGTGAGGATCAGGGTAACCACACGGCAGAGCCATCAGCTACATGCAGGGTTTCCACAAATAAGCCTACAGACCTGAAGCAACAAGGAATCCAGACAGCACAGGCAGCTAAGCGTTCACCCCTCTCTCCACACCAGCGAGGCAAGCGGGTGGTTTCACTGAGCTGTAAAACCCACTTACTTCCACAGTTCTTGTCGCTTGCTCGTGTCGGTAGAGCCTGGATTATCTGTTCACAGGAACATGCAGTAATGGAAAGAAGGAAAAGAGAGGAGTGTTTTGAAAGCAGATATTTTGTTCTAACCCAACCCACTGTGCCACCAAGCAACAGCACCGAAGGGGCTGGGAGCAGAGACTCAGAAACCTGAAGTCGCAGCATTGCACTGGGAAGGCATGTTCTGGCTAGTGAAAGGCATGCCGATGACACAGCCAAGACCTGAGGTCGTAACTTCACAAATCGAAGAACAAGTCACCCTAAAACCCTCACATCCCCTGCAAGAGGGGGATCCTGCACCACGCTACAAGGAGACAGCTCCCAATCCGGGAAAGGACAACCTACTGCAGGCACCCTGGGGCCTTACCTCTGTGACAGCCTTCTTGGATTGCCAGCAGCAAGTGCTAGGGGAACCGTGAATGACATTTCCAAAGCACACTTCAGCTTCTGCCTGCATTCATTTTCAGCATCACTACTGTCCCTGCAGCTCCAGCAACATCCTTACACCCCAGCTGTCAAACTCGCCAGATTCACAAGTTCCATGAATTTCTGAGTGGAATTCACAGAGAAGGAATGAATGCTTGCAGACTGCATGCAGGCCAGAATGGGCTAAAGGAATGCAGCAGTTTATTTCAGAGGACTTCTTGGCTTCCCATTCAACAAGGTCAACAGCTCTTTGGGAGTAATTCAAGATCCAAATGTACTGGATTACATTGACAGTACAGGTATGACAAAGGGTTACACCTTGAGGACAGGCTGGAAGCCAGGAAGGGAAGCAACTTCACTAAGCTAAGAGCGCACAGCATCAGAAGGCATCCAGCAGTAGTACAATGCTCTCCCAGTCCTTCAGCTGGTGAGTCAGTGTCCCATCTCAGCACCAGAAGACAAAGCATGCTGGCTGCTCAGTCCTGGCAGCCTGGCTAAAAGACATGAACATCAACGTTTGCCCCCACACACTACCCACACAGTATTGAGTCAGATTGCTCCAACAGAATTACCTCCCTTTGACTCCATTTTTGTGGTTTAGAGAGTCACAGATCTGAAGGGTAGGAGGGAAAAAAATATAATAAAAAAGCCACAAAGATCCCCCAGTTTTGCTTCCTGTGCAGCATAAGCCATGGAATTTCATCCAGTAACTCCCCTGCCGAGGGGAGTTATCTCACCTACCACATAAATGAACCTTGCACCAGCTACGTGTTAATAGCACGAACATCTTTCAGAAAGGCATCTGATCTTGATTTAAGCACTTCAAAGGACAAACAGTCAGCTGGTGTGGATTGCCACTGCTCTGCAAGGCAGCTGTAACAATTCACTGCAGCTGAGGATCTGCACGCAAGCACTGGTGAATTGTCTGCTTTTTCCTTCAGCTTCCCTATTGCATAATTGTTCTTGCTATTAGGAGCGTGTATCAAATGTAAAGTACCAATTAAAGGGGAAGGATAAATTAAAACAGACACGAGCAGTGCCTGAACATGCGTACGTGTGGGGTCCAGCTCCGAGAGCAGGCCTCCAAGCCAGAAACAGGTCAGAGCAGAAGGATGTGAGCGTGGCTGTTCCCCACACCCACGCAGGCAATGTCAAAGATCTCCGTATGTAGATCAGGACCGGGAAAGAAACACGTGCAAGACACCCACCCACTGATGCAACTGCTCTGAACAGCGCAGCACCACTCCAAGCCTAGAGCACACATCAACCAGGAAGAAGCAGCAACGACAACGCACATGCTCCTCTGGTTTGTGAGTGCACAGCCGAGTAACAAGTTCATTCCTCCTGCTTCCTCATCATTTTTCACTTCAGCATGCTGGCATAAACTCTGGCTGGACCTGCTTTATGGTGCTTTCAATTTATGAAACTGTGGTTCAAGCATGGATAACACTACCCAGAACACATGCTAGGTTAATGCTATGCGTTAAAGCACAGGCAGCTGTCAGTGGAAGCATGCACTAAAAGCCTCATGGAGAAAAGTTTTAACCAAGTCTTAAAAAAAACAAACAAAAAAAAAAACAAAGCAAGAGACAAGAAACTCGACTCAAATCAATTCTGCACAGTTTTTTCAGGCAAAGTTTTGGATGTTTCCAGCACACACTGCTTAAAACAAACATCTCCATTCCTTAACATCCCTGCAACATTGTCCCTTGAAAATTTAGTCAGTCACATACCCTGAAAAGTCAGCTACTACATTTAAACAGGCACCTACCCTGTAATCCAGGGTATGCAGCCAGAGCCTTTAAGTACATTATCAGGCCTTCAGCACGAGCATTTTTCATCACTGAAGCTTGAAATTTTGCTTGCAAATTACTTCCGTTGCCTCTGAAAAGTCTGCACCAGGAGACTCCATTTAGGAGGCTGAGGCTGCAGGTTGCCCAGAGGTTCCAATTAGAATTTCAATAGCAGATAGCCAGATGCAAGGCCTGTTTTCTGGCAGATGGTTTTATAAACCCAACAGGGAATTTACAGCTAAAACAAGAAAATAAAGATGTCTGCAGCTACACAGTCAGAGGCACATAGTCCAAACTTTTCCCCAAGAAAGTACAAAAAAGGACACATGCATATACAAGCATATAAAGTATTTAAACTAGAACCAAGCAGCAAACATGCACAGCAAGCACATTAACCTGTTATAGACACGAAAGATAATAAAAATGAACAGATCCCTTCTAAATTACCCGTTGCCATGTAATAGACTGCATTAACATATACAGTAGTGGATGATTATGATAGGTAAGTAAGATTAATAAATAAATGTATGCACTTTTGAGAGAGAGAGAGAGAGACATCAACATGCATCTTAGAGCCTAGTTTTCAAAGCTACTGATCAGCCACAACCCCTTAGAGGCCTAAAGGGCACCAAGTACTCAGAATCAGGGAGTTCACCTCAATCAGCAAGGTCGCAGATTAGCTCCAGGCAGGGAGGGTCAGCAGTTCCTATAGTGGCTCCTTAGGCAAGCAGTCGGTTAACTCACTTTATCGGGAAGCCGGAGTGCTGTCGCATGACCAAGTCTGGCAGGGATTCATTCAGCTAACACGCTGGATGCCAAGGCACCTTACTCAATAGGATCCTGACACAGGATTTTTCGTTGCCAGTCCTACAAGACAAAGTTTGGAGACAGAGAGAGGCGAGTTAAGGGATTCACTAAACCCACCAGGACAAGAACCACTGGAACAGGATGTCCCTGGCAGATGCTGCATTTAAGAGCCTGGTCAAAGAACAGGATTTGTTCTTACTGTCTCGTGGCATCATGCTAACACTGCCCAGGGCACAGTTAAACCTAATGAAAACATTTCCTTGGGGTAAGCGATGGGGCACAGGATGAAAAACACTTCATTCCTCCACGCGGAGCGGGATGCCACTCACACAGGCAATCTGTATTCCGTGCAGCCTCCCTCACTTACCCAGACACCAGACTTTCCGTGCGTGTCTGTGGCACCACCAGGAAGCGCCCCACACCCCGGATCTTTGAAAGGGCCCCGAGGGAAATAGAAGGAGCTGCGGGGAGCCCTGGGGATGCAGTCAGGGTTATTAACCACGCTGCCAACACGGGGCTCCTCCCTCCCCACCACTTCAGCGCTGCACAGCTCAGGACCCCAGCCCCACGACAGACACCCTGCCGCGAAGCCCACCGGACACCCCGCGGGCACCGGGGGGGCTGTTCCCAACCCCACCCCCCAATAAAGGGGCCTATTGGGGATCACGGCGGGGCTGCTCACCTCCCGCTGCGGGGCGTGCAGCGGCACCGGGTGCTCCCCGTTACCCCCCGGAGCTGGGAACGGGACCGGGACAAGGGCTGGGGGGGGCCGGGACCGGGAGGGGAGGGAGAGGAGAGGGGAACCGGGACCGGGAGAAGCGAGACGGGGGAGAAGCGGTGGCGGTAGGGCTGCCCGCCCCCTCGCGGTGCCCCCCCGCCCGCAGCGTGCCGCTTACCCCGGCGCAGGCGGCGGCCGCACGCCCGGTACCGGCGCGGCCCCCGCGGGGCAGGAGCGGAACCGGGCGGCGCCGCGCCCCGCCACGTGCCGCCGCCGCGCCCCGCCCCTCCCGCCCATCGCCGCTCCCCGCCCCTCCCGCCCATCGCCGCTCCCATTGGTCCGTCCGTGCTTAGCCCCGCCTCCCCGCTCATACGCCACGCCCCACCGGGCACGCCCCCATCCTCTCCGGTCACCCCGGAAACGGCGAGGGGAGGGCGGAAATGGCGTTGCGCGGGGCTGGGCCCAGTGGAGGGCGGAGGGGCCTGGAGGGAGGGGGCTTGTTTCCCTCCGCCCTCTGCGTGAGCATCCTTTCGCCTCCCCCCCGGCTCCAGTTTGCCCATGGGGCAGGGCCACAAATGCCCCTTTGCTGTCAACACGCGTAAATTACCCCAAATGTGCACCGCGCGTTGAGATCTGTCTGTTTTCTGGGGGTCAGGCTCGTGCCCCGGCCGGCTCTCGGCTGAGGAGGGGCAGCTTTGTGCCACAGCATGAAAACTCCTGCTGCATCTGGGGGCGGCCGCAGGAGCGTCTTTGGGTACACCAAATTCATTACCAATGCGTTCTCCCCACGTTTTCTGCAAGCAAGCGTCACAGGAGGCTTTGTGTTGAGTAAAGGAAGGGCGGCTGGGCTGGTTGTCCACAACTGTCCCTGAAAGGAAAAACTAGATAGAAAAAGGCTGGGGCTGACAGCTCAGTAACACACACCCTGCAATAATAAATGGTTATTTTGCCGTTTTTGGTGTTTCTGTCAACGCCAAAGGTTTGCACAGCACCAGTCTGCAGCTGCTTTGGTGTGTTATCAGGGCAAACCCTAGCAGCAGTGGGACTTCGGAGCGTTTCTGCACTGCAGCGTGTACCGGTACGGATGGATACGTACCTAATAGGTGTGTCAGAGCAGCATTCTGCAACGTGCAGCCAGCTCCACAAAACGACAGAAGGAGCAGAACTTCTTCAAGCCATGAGCACCCATTTTAGATCAAGCACACATTCAGCACCTTTGGGTTGCTTCCAGATGGCCCAGAGAAGAGCCTTCAGAAAAAAAAAAAAAAAAAAGTGCAGGTGACAGCATTGTGTATACAGGCACAGTCCATATTGTGAGATGCTTTATATAGTGATTGTGACATTGAACAGGTGAAACAGGAGCTTTTGCTACCTCAAGTAGGATCTCAGCTGCTACTGCTCATCTGGCCATAGATGAAAGCGATGCTGAAATCATTCACACATGCTGATGTAATTTTAGAACGCAGAAATTTGCTTTTAGAAATGAGTGATGAGGAGGAGGAATTTATACCCTAGTCCATCAGATAATTAAAAGTAGACAAAATGCAGAGCCAGACAGAGCTCCACATTAAGGACTCAATTTAAAGCGTGTCTGCCTGCATCTGTTGTGTAGATGTATCATCCCATCTTTCATGTAAGATACTGACATCTACTGAAATGCTCCCTCCCCTCCTTTCCAGAGAAGGAGAAAGGGAGGAAGAACCTCTGCTATTCAGGGGAATTAGAAGAGACGGTTGAAAACAGGGGGAAGGACTGTGTGCTGTAGAAAAAGATTGTCTGACAGGACCAAGTGCAAAGATGGAGCAAATAATGTGAAGCAGGAGGGCTCACACCCCTTGGGTTAGCATGGTGGGGAACTAGCACATTTCTGAAACAGTCTCAGGAGAAAAAAAATAAATGAAAATGCACATGGAGAAGCCCAGATGTGGAATGGGAAAATAAAGGTACTACAGTAAAGCCATAATCACCTAAACAAAGAGAACGTGATGTCATGAACATGCCCTGCTCATCTCTCTCCCTGTGATGCACGGGGAATGTCTGCTGTTCGGGCTCCCAGAGGACATCGTTTTGAAAGGTGTTTAAAGATCTTTGCAACTTTACACGCCTTGTGTGAAAAGCTGGGGTGCTAAGACATGCAGGCAATACGAGGTTTTCATAGAATATAAATGAGGTCTAAGCCACTGTTTATCTTTCAGTTGGTTTGTATTTATTCGAGGCTGTTGGGAGAGTAGAGATTATGGGATGTAATGAAATGGCATCAAAGGGGATTGGGCTGGAGGTGCAGTAAAGGAGATTTTCGGATATTAGTTTAAGTAGAAGTGGCTCCAGTATAGCCGAGCTATGTTCCAGACATTAACCCATGCAGGGTTTTGTGCTGACAGCTAGCAAACAAAAGGCAGGTCTGTGTTTAAAAAATAAAGTCTCATTTCCAGAACAGATGGTGGTTGGGATAGCAAATATTTGCTCTTTTGGACTGCTCAGATAAACGTAGCCAGTTGAGGCAATGCAAATAGTCCTTCATCTCTTTCTATGTCTAAGGAGTGGAACTACATCCCTTCAAGCAGGTGGAAGGTTGAACCTTCCTACCCTACACTGTAAAGTCCCTTTTAGAGCAGTGCCAAGACAGGCCCATGGTCTGCTGGGGGAGAGTAGTCCCTCTAGAGGCACAGGGATCATCCTTCCAACTCTTTGTGTGGCTCCTGCACCAGAGTTTAACTTGCGCTATATTCACTTCTGGTATAACTCCAATCAAATTAAGCCAACAACCTATTTAGCCTGTTATCATATTTTTTTTCTTTCCTTTTTTTTTTTTTTTCTTCCCTTCCTGTAGCCATCTTTTCACAGAGGACATGCCTCTGCCAACTCTCAAGCTGCAATTAGGGAAGAGTCTGGATAGAACTGTTGACAATATGTTTGCAGAGTACTAAATACCATTGACTATGATCAGTAAATATTTACACTTGGAGAAAGAGATTTGCTCTTTGCATAGTTTGCATGTTGGCATCTGCTAGGCTGAATAAATTACTAATAAAAATTACATTGTGGGGAAAAAAAAATGCCCATGCTGGTTCTTTGGAGCTATTTTATTAAAATCAATTAAATGATAAGGAAATGCATTCCTTGAGAATTACTCTTTCCAAAATTTCGATGTTGGAATATGCCCTATTGCACCAAAGAACTGAGGCAGCACACTCTTGGAGGAGTGTGCATTTTCCTAGTGAGGAACCCTGGGCTGACACAAAGGCCATTTTAGTTGGGGAAGGAGAGCCCATGTTCTCCATCAGGACTAGTGCCTGCAGCCAACTGTAGAATAGCTGCTCATTTTGGCATGACAGTTTTGAAGGAATTTGGCCACAGGTCCTTTCTGGTCTTGCATTTTGTACAGCTCTGAATTCAGTCCCACCGAATTGTGAGTCTTGGTAGACCTTGCAATTATGAGTCTTTTCTCAACCTTCTAGCTTCCTCAATCAAGACAATGCATAAGGATCTTGACTATCATTTTAAAATGGGTTTGGTGTATGCAAGGAAATGTGGAACACATGTCCCTAGAAGTAGAAATGCAGATAAGCAAATCTCAATTTCAGAGAGCTAAACTCCCCATATCAGCGTACAGGGTATTCCATCTACTGACAGTAGTCACCTAAAGTCAAATTTCATACTTAAAATTCCAAGTGCTCTTCATAAACTTATTTTAAAGCCAAGATTCTCATGTAATACCATGTTTGTAGTAATGTTAACCCAATTAAAGAATTGGTCACAGGGACAGAGCATCAAAGTGGTTGCATTTTGAGTTATTATAATGAATTAAATATGTGCAAACAGCCAAAAAAGATTGGTTCTGTGCACCCACTGAACATTACAACTACAGATATAGCATTACTCACAACCCATCAGGATGCTCCAGTTCTCTTCAGACACATATAGAGCTGTCCCACTGGCATCGTGTTACTGCAGCTTCATCATGAAAAATGGATGTCATGCTCAGCCATAGGAATCCCTGAAGCACAACTCAAAACACACATTAACCCTCACAGCTAAGCCGCAGCATGGAAGATACATCTAGCAGTGCATTATCAGACAAGTATCATACCTGATGCCATGGCACAATTTGCTGTAACCTTCTATGCTTAATTAGCTTTCTCATCACTGGCTAGCATTGCCTCTGCTTGCAGATCCTCACTAGGCTCATCGCCCTTCAGAGAGCTGAAGAGAAAATATGGGCTAAGGGCAGAGGGAGCCTGGGTTGAAGATTGCCATGGACCGTGCAAGAGGTAGGGCCGAGTGAGGGTGCCTGCAAACTGTTAACGTGAGGTTCAGGGAGCCCGTGATGTGACCAGGCCTTTAACTTGGTGGTTGGCTTGGTCCAGCACAGCCTCTGGTCTGTGGCACAAGGCAGAAGTTTCTAGTGACAGTCCTGTCATCTTACCCTGCTACCACACAGCAACCTGAAAAGTCCCTTATGTGAATGCAAATGCATTGTTCACCCATGATGGGCATCATGCTGTACAAGGACTGGGTGGCAGCACTGCTTTAGCTCATCCTGCACTGCAGTCGGCAGCTACACACCATTGGTGTGGTATGGTATATGCTCCAGTAGGTAGTAGTGCTGTCATACATCATAAATATGGATATATCATAGGAACAGAATATCCTGAGTTGGAAGGGATATATATATATATACACGCACACACACAAGCCAGAACTGGAGCTTGCACTATAATTTGATTCATATTCCCACGGGTTCAAATATGACCTTCTTGGCTGTTCCAGCATTTGGATTTCTCATGGCACAGTGACTCCAACATCACCACAAGGGGGGAGGGAGCATGTGATGTTTTCTACTTCTGCTTTGTAATCTTCTTGGTGAACAGCCGTGGAATGCTTGGGATGGGTACTGTGCACACAGAACAAGAGCTCTTAGGAGTGAGGACCATCCCAATGCAGACAGGCTTTGTCCTCACTGATAGCAGGGGAGAAGGAGAAAGGGCGTATTCTCAATAGGTCTGATAAATTTTCCCTAAAGGAAAGCAAAACATGCTTTCACTAGCCAATACAACCTGCCTTGTCCACACAAGGATTTTAATCACACCTCTCTTTCTGATATTGGTATGGCCATACACTGAAGTAGAAGAGTTGGGAGAGAAACAGATCAGAAGAGAGATGCTGGAAGTATAGCTACATTTTCTTGAGAACTCCTGTTGACCTGGTTTCTGCTCTGCTGAGTTTAGCTCATCTGTAAGGATTTCTGAGTCATGCCAGAATGCTTTGCACTAGCTGCTTCCTTTGTTGAAGAGCATCCCAGGCTGGTGCAAAGGGTGTTTTGGGGAACAATAGGCAATCCCTTCAGAAAGGGACACTGGAAGAGCAACATAAGCAAAAGTCCAAATGCCCAAAACGTGGGTCACTGAGAGGGGTGGCAGAGAACAGGTAACCTCCAGCCAGAAGAATAAAGTGTGATGAGAATAGTCACCAAATCTCATCTTTGCTTAGAGCCATGTTGGGTAAGAGTTTTGGCTTGATGGGATTTAAAGAATGATTACAAATTATAACTTGGAATTTAAGCCTGTATCTTTTCTGCTGAAAGCTGTGTTTATCCTGCTTGAAGAGGTCAGTCACGATAAGGAATCTAGCTTAAATACTGCCTCCCCGGTCAAATAGCACACTGCACCACAGCTGATTTTGAGTGCAATGTATTCAAGTGAAGCTGTTTCCTGCTTCAAACCTCCTTGCCCTCCCTCCTCTTCACACCACAAAACAGGACCTTGATCCCATGCCAAGAACACCTGAAGATTGCGCTGCTGAAGCTGAGGCTGACTGAATGCTCTGTAAGCAATGCTGTTGAGTTTTCGCTTTTTCCAGTCTAAGTGTGTGCAGACAATGCATTTGCTGATGAATTTTGAATTGTTTTCTTTCTGCACACTGCCTTAACAGTAGCCTCCATTGAACTATCAGCAGTCTGGCCTTAGGCACAGAAAGAAGACTCTGTAGCTACTTACATAACCCAAAGAAACAAAAATTATTACAGCAATGCCTGGCAGTGCTGCTCTCAGCCTCGTGTCTAGTGGCATTTTTGCAAGACACCATTCTTCCCAGCATCTTTCCACCCCAGGGTTTATAGCTTTTATATTAGAACATGAGGTGGACAGAAATTTGCACAAATTAACTCCGTGTGGAGAATAGATATATTTGGTTTGTTGTGCTAAAAAAATAAAATAAAATAATTTTAATATAAACTTTTTGACTGAATTCAGACAAGCTCTGAGGCTTTCCTAGGTTGAAAGAGACACTGTATTCACAAGCCATCAGTCAGTACTTGTTTGTGTGTGTATTTAATGAAAAATCAACCCAAACAAGTCATATGCATCCTAAACAGTGCAAGTACCAGAGGAAAACTAGGGTAGCTGCTCTAATGACAAAGCAACAGCATGAATGTGTACCTCTTTTTAAATGGGGGGCAATGCAGGGTCAGCAGAAGATGGAGAACAGCATTGCACAGTGCCATTATTCTCCTCCTGAGATCAGGTAGAGCCAGTGCAAGAGAGGGCGGTTAACCAGTAACATACTTTCTGGTGATTACTTTCCCAAATAACAATCTGTTTAACATTAACTGAACTGATTATGGATTTTCCCCTGGCACATGGGGGATATATCCCAGTCAAGGAGAGATTCAGAAACTACCCTGGGGCTGGCAGGGGAAAGGGCAGCAGGAGGAAGCAATTACAGAGGGCCATGCTACATGCCCTAATAGACTTTCCTCTCTGGCCTGCCAAGGCCCTGTTGGTTTCCCAGCCTTCACCCAGAAAATCCCAGGACTGCCAAAAGGGTCAAAGAAGGAGTGGGTGGAAGGAGGTTGCCCAAACACCCTTTGAGAGCTGGACTGGTAGGAACACAGGCTAGACAAGGGCATTTATACATCCAAAAGTGGCTAAGGGATGTACTCCCCTTCAGTGAGCCTGTAAGGACACAGAAGGGTTAAAGCTTCTTCCCTCCACTTTTTTTTTTTTTTAACCTATTAAAGCCTATTTTAAACTGTGTTTTTGTTTTTGTTTAACCTATTGCATTCATGTCAGCCAAAATTAATGTCTTTGATAGAAGCCAGCCCTCATGCCACTTCGACAACAGCAATGCCCTTATTGCAGAATAAAACTTAACGGGAGGCAGAGATGAACTCAATCCTTAAAGCCCTGACATCGACATTCACCCAGACCACTTCAGGCTTTCTTCGGTCTTCTCTTTTACACTCAGCCCCATCCCAGAAGCAGAACAACAGCGTTCAAGTCACACACCAGCCACCTCACACTCCACAAGCATGCTCAGCAGCTGACTGAGGGGCGTTTGCCTTTGCAGTAGCCTCTGTCCGAGGAGAACATGCCCTGCACCACGCAGGAAAGCTGCAGCGCCCTACATGCTCCAGCAGCCAGGGACCTTCAGGCGGGTCGCTGGAGGTTGGTGTGGTCCTCATGGGTCATGGTCGGTGGTCTCTTGGCGATCTCACCGGTAGATGGCAATGCAGAGACAGAGAAACCTAAGCACGCAGAGGCAGGAAGAGGTGCTGGATGCAGGAAGCAAGTACAGGGGATGGAGAACAACTTCACGGCGCCTGCTGGACAACTTCAGTGCTGCCCTGCTTCCCAGTCATCGGGGCAGGCTTCACAGCAGGGCCCCACCTGTATTTTGTAGGTAGCAGACAGTCATGCTCAGGGGTTAACATTTCAGGTTGTTTTGGCTTTTTTGCCAGAAGATCACAGCTGATGTTCCAAATACCCCCCATTGAAGGGCCTCATCTGGAGCTCCCAGCCACAGCACTGCCCCTTCAGAGCTCCACAGAGCCCACCCTGGCCAGCGAGGGTCTCGGGGACATGCACCCCTCTGCCACGACCCCACAGCCCAGGAGCTGGCATTGCTCACCGGTGCCAGGCTCAGCAGCAATGTTCCCACATCTCAGGGGACACCATGGGGGCCTTGTCAGAGTGGCAATGCCCTACATGGGGCAGCATTAGGAAAAAAGAAAAACACTCCCTTAAAAAATACATACAGAAATGCATCCACATCCCTAAATCATTACTGGGCAAATATTTGCCTTCTTTGGCTTCACATGCTTTATTCTTTTTAGAATGTCAGACTGAAAGTGAATGTAGAAATACTGTCTAACACAACAGCAAACTATAAAATATACAAGTATCTATATTAATAGGACAAAATATCTGTTGCCTTTTATATGCAGACTCAGTGTTGCTTTCTAAATGGCACTAAAATGTATGTTCTTATACTAGAAAGCAGTCCTAAATACACATTCACTATATGAGAGAGCACCATCTGCCAGCCTCTGTGTTGAGGACATCATAGGGACCCCCTTCAAAACAGAAAACAACAAATGCTTGGCAAACTCATACTGACCCCTGGAGTTTTGCTTGTCTGCAGGCCAAATAATAGCTTCTAACTTGCATATATGCAGAAACCAGACCATCAGAGGTCTCTCTCTGGTCATATCTTTATTCATGTGGGGCCCTCCTTTCTCTGTGCTCTTTCTGTTCATATCCAGGTTTAAAGTACACTCGAAATTGCTGGTCCTATGGGCTCCTTGAACTGGCAGCATGGAGATAAAACCCTCTAGGCAAAACCCTCCTGGAAGGGGAGGCAGGCTGTGGTAATACAGACCAGTCATTTCCCATCTTTTTTGATTGCATAGCTCTATCAGTATAAAAAAAAAAATAATGAATGTGCACTCCCCAATATGAGTATCTGTTTATGCATTATATACATGTACTACTGAAATACTAACATTTTCTTCCTGCACTCCAGCAGATCATCTTGCATAACACCAGGTATGCTCACCACACTTTGGAGACCACTAATCTCTACCACAGCTAAACCTTCCTGTCCGGTGCTCTAGGCAGACCCCTTTCGTAATTTTTATGTCCTAAATTGTGTGGAAACTTCTGTAATACAGGCTCACTCTTCAGAAACGACATTGGCTTACTCAAAGGGTATGTGCTAGATGAGAGAGGGAAACCACTAAAGTGAGAATTAAGAGTGCAGGTATGAGGCAGGGAGGGGAAAGAAGAGTTTAAGCAGAAGCTGTTGAATGGTTCCCTAATAAATATTCTTACACCAGGTCCATGGGAACATTTTGGTGCTCAAATTAAATCTGTTTTTAGGAAAAAGAAAAAGGATAGAGAGGAGAGTGAAAGAGGCTAATAATAATAATCTCACTATAATATCCAACAGTTGTGCCCAAGAGCAGTACAATACTCCCAGGTGCTTCTACCCCTTCGAGACAACAGGGAGGAGTATATACTACCATCAGTCATACGGCATGGGCTGGATTACCTGGCCATGGGCCTATTCAATCCAAATGCTTTCCAATACAATCACGTGGAAGGACAAACACCAAGAAATATAGGGTTTTGTCCCAAGCTGACAAGAGGTGGTTTGAAGTGGAAGGGAGAAAGGCACAGGATGTATCTTGGACAGGGATGTGGTGGATGTGATAAAACACAAGCTGAACACAAAGAGCCTTGCAAAAGACACAGCAAAAACAGCTTATACATCTTTGAGATGGATTAATATGTGATTACAGATATGATTTTGCCATTCATGTACAGCACTGCCAAGATCTATAATGGAATGCTACAGTGTGTTCTATTCTTGTTTTATAAAGAATGTTAACCAGCTGCAGAGAGCTACATTCTCTGTTGGTATAGAGGAAGAACTCTTTTTATCAGCTACTAAGAACTAGCTTTGGGCTGGCAGAAGCTGTGTAGATTGATTACCTTAAAGCGATGAAGAGACAGCACACAAACCCAACAATTTAAACAAAGGTTTTCTTGCTTTTTAACCTCATGTCTTTTCCCCAGTTGAAGGGAAAAAATACACATAAGTGACTAGTCTCTGTATTTCTCTAGCTCCTCTCCTTGTGGTTAATAATCTAATTCAGCAGCTGTTCAGTCCTTGGGGCCAGTAACTTTAGCCAGACATTTCATGCCAAGGGAAAGAGCAGCAGGTAAGGTGGGAGCAGGTGGTGCTGCTGGCTTGGGGGCTCATATCAAAGGTCTGAATATCCTAGAGGTGTCTATAGGGAGAGCACAGGAAGAGCAACTTGAGAATTGTTCAGGGCTGGCAACGGGCAATCACATTTTAGAGACTTGAGTCATATCTGTATGTTAGTCTCCTCTTTGGTACCTTCCAAGTATTCCATCAACAGTGAGAAATAAGAGAGGACCTGACAATTCGATATTGCAAAAGCACAGGAAAAAATGCATAATCACATCAGGAAAGAAAACCCCTTAAGAAAACAAATATACTTGCAGGCTTCTTTCCTCTATCAGTATGAAGCTACATGGACAAATGCCACTTACTCTCTGATCTTTTGATCATCAGAAAAAAAACAAACTGCAAATTACATCACTAATTTTGCCCATACAGAATGTTCACAGCTGTTGGCATAGAAAACAATGCAAACAAACCACTGAAGCTGCATGAGGTCTTTAGTTCCCCTTGATCCAGGGCTGGCACCATGCTATTTGAATTAATAAGGTACTGGGTGCAGTCCTTCTAAACCCCAAATGGTTGCACAATGTGTTGAGTAACAACGTAACACACTGAAAAAAATCTGTCTATGCTGGCATATTAGCAGAATGAATGAGATATACAGCCCTCCACTCATTAATGACTAAGTGCAGCAATTGTTTTTTTCAGTACATCACTCAAGCCACATCAAACCTTAAGCAGACCAAGCAAGTTAAAAAATACTCCACAAAGTTTGCACAATTACCAAAAATGCTAGATAAACCTCTTGGGTTTTTAATAGATCACCAACCATTTTTAGTAGTTTTTAACTTCCCTGGAGTAACATATGATTTCTGGTTTAATAGACTAGAGAGCAGAAGGAGAAAGGCAAGCTGGAGTTCCTGCAAGAGAGGGTTAGCACCCTTCAAAGAAATAAGCACATTTCAGAGAATCGTATTCATGGATCACAACCATAGCTTGCAGACTTCCTTTTGAAAGGGCAAGAGTCTCTAAAAGAGACCAGGAAAACACTTTGCTCACTGAGTATCTTCCACAAAGAAAGGTACTGCTCAGGTCTCGTGCTTACTACCTTGACACACCTTCCTTCACAAGTCTGCAGGAGCAGCGGGTGTGATTCAGAGATGATCTCAGTTCAAAAACTCAACCAACTGCTGAAGGCTGATCTCTTGAAAGCAGCACCACTGGGAGACAGCAGTTCTGGGTGTAAATCTGATATGATGCAGTTCTGACTCTGGGGGTCTTTCCTTTTTTCCTTACCAAGCTACCCTCACCCTGAAAGCAGTGGGAAAGGCAGAGCGATGGAAACCCAATGGTGAGATTCCCACAACCTCTAATCTAGCCACTGTTTTCCTTAGTGTACCTTTAGCGTGCCAGGCTTCTTGCAGCCCCAGCAGTGCTGAAATGGTGTAATGCTGCATTTGGGTGTAATTTTATACCACAAGAAAAGGATGCAGTAGATACCAATATCTATCACACTACCCCCTCAGCAATCCACAGGACTTGGAATAAGAGTCAAATTCAATCAAGTAGCTCTGCTCTGTGTTGTGTGTGAGCATAACTGCCTGTGTGTGAGGTTTTGGAATTGTCTGTGGCCTTCTCATGGGCTTGTCTATCCAGCAGCCACAGTAAACACTGTAATATTTCCAGAAATCAGCCAAATGGTATAATTTGTACCCACCACACCAACTCAAGACTCAGCAGATCCAAGTTTCATTTCCAAAGCTGCTACAGACATCTTTTTATCATCTCCCACTCACCTTTCATGCCAAGCATTTCAAAAGGGATCAGAGACTTCAGCTGCCAGTTTGAGATACCTCAGACATGCCTGGCTGTCAGAAAACAGGCACTCAACATAGACACAACGCATGAGCACAGCTCAATTAAAGCGCGTTGGAGCCGCTTCACTGTGCCTCATCTCTCTTCTCTGTACTTCTCCCAACTTCCCACCATCTCACCTCTACCATAAAATTACCAAGAGAGAGAATTTTCACAGCAAAATCCTCCTTCGGGTTGGAGACTTGAAGTTCAGCTGATTAGCACATTCGGTAACAAAGGTAAATGTTTTAAAGGGGTTGTAGAGCCCATTAGCCAACAAAAACAGTCTGTTGCCATGGATGGCCAGATAAACCTAAACCATCTGATTCCTAAATAAGTCTCCACTCAGCTGACTGTACAATTCTCACCACCCAGGGATTTCAGTCACACTGCACGACTGGGCAGCATCCCCTGCTGCCAAGACCAGCTCCCCAGTCGCCCACCCATGAAGTACCAGAAAGGGTGAGATTATCTTTAGTCTTCTTGGGAACTGATGCCTACTTGTAGGTTCCAGAATTATCACCCGCTGACATCACGGCAGAACATGGCATTATTTAGTGTCCTTTCTGACTTCTGCTAGCTTGATGTCAACTGCTCGCTAGGTGCCAGGAGACATTACTCATCACACAAGAATTAAAATTGTTATTGGCCATATTTTCCCAGCTGGGCTTTCAAACTGGTTTCATTTTGCCAATGATTTGTGTAGCCGAGCTGCTCTTTTTTCTTTTTGGTTCACATTAAGTTTCATTTGAGCTGTGCGTCACTGCATTCTCTGCGGGTTACCCGTCTGAATGTGGAGGTGAACGTGTGCCATTGGAGCTTGCTCCCCTATACATACTGGTAACGTTGCTTTCACATATCTCAGTTTTGCCTGCATGCATGCTGCAGGTGATATACTCCCTACAGACGGATCACATGCACGTACCTTTTATTCCCAGAACTGGAGGTGGGCTGCATTCTCAATGCAGGTGGCAGAACCCTGAGGGAAGAGGGCCTTGGGATCACAGGCTCCCAGCATGATTTTGAGGTGCAGCAAGGCAGAGCACAGTTGCATTGGTGAAGGTCCAAGGGTTTGTTCAGTACATAGGGGGATAAGGGAAAGGAAACTCCTATGCTAGACCTATAGGTGAGGAGATGGTCTGATCTTCTGAAGGGAAAGGAGCATTGTCATTTTGTCCACGCTGACAAGATATTTTACCGCTCCTCTTCCTCTACGAGCACTGAAACACATTCAAACAATGTGAACAGAGGATAGGAGAATGAGCTAGTCAGGGCATCATTTCGTCTCATAGGATCTCCTTCATTTAGATAAGTTACTGTGGCATGAGCACTGCCTACCAGGCCTCTCCAAGCAGCTTGCACCTCCCCATCAAAGCAGAAAAGCAGGCTCACACAGAAGATGTTCCCATTCCAAGCACTCCCTTTTAATTCTCAACTATATATTTGCTGCTCTGACTTCCTTGGGAAGTTAGGTTTGTAGTCCTACCCTCCGGTACACGTGGGGCTTGTGGGACACAAAGCTCTTATTCTCTAACACTCCTATGAGCTGCGTCGATAAGGAAGAATGATTTCAGTACCCTCCACTGAGAAAGAAGAGGCACAAAACATATAACTGTTATGTGACAAAAGGGAATCCCCACAGAAAGGTAAAATTTGAAAAGCTTCATTGGAGTTACCTCTTGTTGAAGACCACAGGAGCCAACTTGGAAATAGAGATCTGTTAAAAGATTAATTAATAAAAAAAAAATAAATAAAAAAAAAAAAAAAAAAGCCCACATCCTGAGCCAAAGTTTCCCCTATTCACAGAAAAGGAAGGTAAGAGGCTGCTGCTCCAGGAGTCACCAGAACCAGCCCTCCTACCCTAGCTTTTCTTCCACCATCGTAACACTGCTGGAATAAATAAAAACCTCAGGGGAAAACAGCATTTGTTTCTTTATACTTTGAGGATTCAGCACTGATTTTGTCTTCTCACACTACTCTCCACCATTAATCAAAATCACTCTCATCAAGGCAGCCAGGAGCCTTAGATATAAAGGAGGAGGAACTGCAGGAGAGGAGTGTTTGGAAATTAACCCAGCTGCTTTGGGCCTGACTCATCTGCAGCATTGTCAACTCCACTATTTTGCAGTCATGCAGTTGGGCTTTGGGGGTGTGGGTTTCCAGCTCCTTAATCAAAAAGTCTTTAGATATCTCAGCTGTCACCCACTAGCAGTAATACAGATTTATGATCCTTAAGGGTAGAGAAAAAAAAAAGTCTAAGAACAAGTCAGGTTGTATCCTGTAATCCACAGTAACCAGCAGAGAGCTACATTTTAGGGGGAAAAAAAATTAATATTTCATACTGCTTAGCATTGATCAATCCAGGGCCAGTTGGAAGACACAGCATTAGGCAAATAAACACATCTGAAAGGGAAGTAGAAAGACACAAGGCCTTCCAGAGGCCTAAATAAAAAGCAAATTCAGGCTAGATTGAGCCCCACTGTACTGCCAGGCAGTGCAGCCAGACACTGCTCCCCATGCTTCAGCAGCCCCATAGGGAAGCTACCCTTGTTATGAATATCATCACATCCCCCAGCCCCTTCCAGACCTCTAAGGCTTATTGAAATCTCCAGCCAGGCTCTCACCTGGCTAGTAAAACACCTCCTCCCAGCCACGTTTTCCTACCACCACCACATAAAGCAGCAGTCCTTCATGATCAAGTCACAGCTGAGCTTTTATTGCTCTCTGCATCCAGCAACTTCTGTAGGTGGAGCAGAACAGTGATTTGATCCCTAATTAACCCCCTTGTGGACATCCAAGACCTATAGTAGAAAAAAATCAGCACACAAATTTCTCTTGGGAACCGCCCCACAGCTTGACAGTTCCTGGGTTTGCAGTGTAAGAGCAGGGCTAGAAGCCCCAAATCCAAGTGGTGGGCAAGTTCTGGTGTGCTCTCAGAAATAATTTCTCCCCCCATGCAGCTTGTGTCCTGATGCCTCTGTCGGTCACTGGAATCACTTCATCCCAGCACGTGAAATCCCTGCAGGTACCCCTGGGACCTAGGTTTTGTGGCCTTGTTTTGCTAAGGCCAAAAAGCTTTTTTTTTTTTTTTTTTTTTTTTTTTTCTGCCGAAAGCTGGCAAGGGAAGCGATCATTTGACCATAGGAAGCTAGGTCACCTGAAGGGCAGCCCTCCCTCCTCCCCATGGGTGTTGTTTCCCCTCCAGTGGGAGTCAGCACGTATTCCATCAAAACCTGGTGCTGCTTTTTGCAGCTGTTTCTGCCTGACTCTGGCAATCTTCATGCATGGCCATGCATTTCAGATGTGTAATGCAGCATGTCTGCGTGCCCTAGAGGTTGCTGGTTCCTGCCAATGCCAATCCATATGGGGTTACTCAAGTGTAAGAGAGTCCGAGGTTTGACCCCTAGCCTGTGAACGTTTTAATTTCCGAGCAAACTTTTAAAGTATGTCTTCTGATTCGGGCATGACAGATGGTCTGTCCCCATGCTCCGACTCCCCAGACATCGAAGGAAAAATTAGCAGGTAGGCTGGGTTCCAAGCTGACCCTTGCAAACTAGCTGAGTCAGCAGCGTTACAATACGACCGTGTTCCAGCTCAGCTAGCAAGGTCTCCTCCTCAGGGCTGGACCGCAGCAGCCGCCAAAGGGAAACAGAAGGGCTCGAAGGGCTCCGACAACACTGTCAAACTCGCAGGCAAGGGCACAGCCAGATCAGTGGGAGTCCTGACCTTTGCCAGCCAGCCTCTTCCCTCGTTGCTGTTCACTAATGTGGATTTAGCATCGGCTGACAGAAAAATGCACAAAACACACAAGGTCAGAGATTCCCGTATTTCGCATGGTCTCGAGCCTGCTGAGTTTTCTCAGGTGTAATCGGTTGCTCCTGGAGCCATCCATCTTGGTGCTGTGTCACAGGTAATCACACTCCCTCTTAAGCAGTTTTTTTTTTTTTTTTCTCCGATGGAAATAACCACAGCAAAAGACAACCTTCAACAAAGCTTGAGCTGCAGAGTTAGCTGCTGGGATTATGAAGGACAACTTACCGCTGGAAATCTCTACATAAACAAAGGTACCTCATGGGTGAATAATATGCAGAGCAACGTGGTTTTTTTTTTCACTGCAGACTGTTCTGTATTCACACATGAGAGGGAGAGTCAGCTCTCTGCCTCCTAGAAAACAACCAGGACCTCTAAACCTGCATCACTCTCTCATTTTATAATTACTACAATCAGTGGCAAAATGTCTTTTTTTCCTTTTAAATGTGACCACTTGCTGGAAACTAATAACTAAAATCCTAGCTGGTTTATATATACATATATATGCATATAAATACCTGAACCTGATGAATTCACATCTTACTCTTAAGTTTGCAGGCCAGGTGTCCCTCTGTGTCAGAGGCTTACTCACTGCTGCAGGACCCCACTGGTGGAATTACAAGCCCTACAGCTGAATAATATGTGAATCAAACGTCTCCCACTGCACACCAATGTGGTTTTGTACAGCCCAGCATACCAAGCAGCTGCAAATATGGTTAAATTGGGTTGCCCTGCAGACAGAAGAAGTCCACCTGGCACCGTCAGGAGTGCTGGTGCAGGACAGGTGAGTGCAGGGTCCACTCAGACCTCAGCCAAATAGAGAGCAGGGAAGTCTCTGCCAGGATCACGTGAGAGAAAATAAATGAGTCTGCAAGATTTTAAAGAGTGTTAGAAGGAAATGGGAGGCAGAAGGGGAAAAGTGCCAACTCTTATGTAAGCGTGGTGGCTTGCAAACTGCTGCGAGAGAAGAGGTCTCTGGGAGGATGCTCTAAGTTTTGCTTTTCTGGGGTAGGACTTGAGGAGAGACGAAAGGATTATTTGGGGAAAAAAAAAATAATCTGTAAAAGCAGAAAAGACTTGGCTTCAAACCAATAATGAATGATGGGGCAGGCAGGAGAGGGCACCACTGATTTGCTGGCATTTCCCACCTCATCTGTCAGCTTTTGCAGATTCCTGCTGACATGGGTCCAATCCAAAGCTTATTGAACAGTTCCCTTCAAGAGCAGTGGATGCTGGATAAAGTGGACAGCAGAGAAAGCTGAGAGAGAGATGGTGAACCTTCCCTTTGGGAAGGAGCAGGCAGGGAGGGCACTACCTTCTTCTCCTTTCTTTATTGTGGTGTTACCACAAGGAAATGTTTTTCCTCCTCAGGTTTGCTTTCTTCCCCCCTGCACAACATACCAACACCATCCCAGGGGGATTACATAAAACATGCTTGTGAGCCATGCAGCATGGAGGGCTCTGCTCCGGGAGCCTCCTGGTGGGTTGGGTCACTGCCTGCTCTCTGCTGGGTCCCACGCTGCAGGGCACAATGTCCCCCACGCATCTTTCCCTCTGCTGCTTCCTGCTCTTGTTGTGACAGCTCAGCTCAAAGCTCCCTCGTGCTGATGCTGCTTAGCAGCCTTACGGGCAGGGGAGGAGGAGCGCAGGCTGCTGAGATATCTGCAGTGCCTCCTCTCCTGTCCTGCAGCGATGTGGCTGCGCCCAGCCTGCACTCCGTGTCAGGATACAGGCACAGGGAGGAGCAGTGCTGGCTGCCAGAGCAGAGGGAGATGCACAGAGGGGCAGAAAGCCCTCATTTGCAGTTATGAGGTGGAAACTGCTTTTTCTTGTTTGGGATACACCAAAAAGCTACTGCCCTTGCCACTAGCTGGTTCCAGTCACCTGCTGGTGAACAGGAGCACATGGGAGTGTTTGGGAGCAGGAGCTGGAGCGATCTGCAAAGGGAAAACACTACAAGCAGTCCCTGAGTCTCCGTGCAGACCATCACAGACCACTCTTGGAGTCTGCACTTGCACTTACAAACACAGCTGGAGGGTAGGGACGGAAAGGGTGGGAGTGTGGGGAAGGCAAGGATGGGGTCAGACAGGGGAGCTACTTCGAGCGGCTTGGGCTCCTGGTGGCTGAGCAGACAGCCAAGCCAGGGGAGTGAATAGGAAACAGTCTGCAATGGCACAAGAGCAAATTTCCCTCAGTCCCTGAGGACCTTCTCGCTCCCCAAGGCAGGGCCTGGCAGAAGATTCATGACCAGGCAGCGTTCTGGGGAGGACTGAAGGATGCAGGGGCCATCTTCAAAGGACAGCTTCTGTGGCCTGTGCTCAATACCCTGCACTTTATGTGGGGCTTTTCCCTTGCCTGTTGTACCTGCCTGGGATCTATGTTTTCTGCTCTAGCAGCAGAGATATTCCTACCTCAGAACAGCAGAGGAGATGCAGTGGTGCAGGGGTTAAGCTGTTCTGCACTGAGTCTGGACAGCCACCGTGGGTCTCTCCCCTCCCATCTTCTCCAATGAAATAATCACCACATTTTAGCCTTGCAGGCATGCAGAGGGGGGTCCAGCTGCTCTTGTGCAGGCAGTAGTATCCTCTAAGCTGCTGGGGACTAGCTGTCTGAAAGAATTATTTCCAGGGCCACATTAAGAGTTGAAGAGTAAAATTTAAAGAACGAACAGGCAGAGAGAAGGCAGAGAGGTGCAGCTTACTCCAGAGGCATGTAAAACAGAGACCATGGCCTTTGTATCTCCACAAGCTCTCAAGCAGCATTTTGGGGAGAGTAGGTGTTGCTTTCCAAAAGCCCTGACCTAAATAAATAAATAATCAATAAAATATTAAGAAATAGCCATCTCTGTAGGAGAGAAAAGCAGAGTTGCATATCACCCCCTGTCTCAAACTGAATTTCCACAGGAGATAGGTAGCAGGTAAGAACATGGACAGAAAAACTGTGTTTTTCAGCATCAGGTCAATGCAAGCAATGAGATGTGATGGGATTCGATCTGCTTAGATAGCCCAGCAACCAGCCAGCAAGGGATAAAGCAAGAAATGCCATGTTTTCTCAGTGCTGGTAGCTTTTTTTTTTTTTTTTTTTTCTGAAATAGTCTAGCATTTGCAAGACTAAATGTTTGCCTGGGTACCTCCATCTCTTTTTCTCTGTGCCATCAAATTACTCAAATTGTTTCAAAGGAAGAAAGAGGGCATAGAGCCTACTACTAAAGCACTGCATGTTAACTGACTGCAGTGATGAAAGCACACGGCCTGCAGCCTGCAGCCACCCTACGCCTGCTGACAAGATATAAATGGCTCAAGAAGGCATGGAAGAAATTAGCAGAGATAACTAACCACTGCCTCCTCTGATACAAAAGCTCAGGAGGCTCAAATGAAGATAAGAGGTGGCATATTTAAAGCACTCAGGAGGAGGTGGCTTTTCACAGGATGGGTAGTGAGGCTGCAGAACTGCCCACCACAGGACGTGGGGGATGCTGGACGGGAAAGACCAGACAGGTTCAAGGCAGACAGAGCCACCAGGACACAGATGCCATACTTGGCTTGGATAGTCCCTAAACCATACCTGCTTGGAGACTGTGAAAACACTGAGAAGTTGGACTCCAGGCATGCTCTGTTCTCAGGCTCTTCTTTAGGTGTCTGTGGTTGCCCACTGCAAGACACAGAAGAAGCAAGATGACACAGAGGCTGTCACTGTGCCCAAGAATCATTCATGCCCTTTACATCTATTCATTTGCAGCTCTGTGTCAGGGCCCTGAGGACATCCATGGACCTTAATTAACATAACCAGCCTCACCTGGGACCCCCACAGCCTCTGCCCATGGGCCCTGGAGCCTCCATTTAACTTCATCTCTGACCATTCTCTCCTGGCCTGATATATGTCATAGGCAAAACTGCTCTCACATCTCTTCCTCAGTTGTTTGACTTTCCTGGCTTGACCCTGGACGTGACTAGCTGCCTTACTTTAGCTGAATGCTGACCAGACTGTCAATGGGACCTGTGGCTGTTACCATCCCTGCACGCTCATCCAGCTCGGGTGCTTTGGGACTGTGCCTTGCTGGTGAAGGTGCCACAGCCCCGCATTCACTTGGGACTTACAACCAGCTGTAATGGAGGTGTTAGAAACAAGTACCAGAGGAGTAGATTTTGTGTCCTCTCATAGCTGTGCTGGAGCTGGATGCTGCTGGCATGCTGCAGAGCGTTCTTGGAGCACACACAAGGCTGTAAAGCAACCACGACCGTCAGACTCACACCATAAAACACAGAACGTGAGCAAAGCCAGGGTGGTTTGTGAGGGCAACAGGCTTGTGAGGAGGAGAAGAGCCCCACAGCTCAATCTACAGCAAGATTTGGTCCTACAGTCTGGCATGAGATGCTCTATAGGAGAAGGACTAGGGGGCCATGTTAGTTCTGGATTAATTAGGGACTCTTCACAAATGCTTCATTCAACCAGGCAGGAGAATAACAATGCATTTTTTATATACAGTGCTTACCAGAGGCAGCAGACACCTCTTTTTACTGAGCTGCTGCAGCAGCCCAGCTTGGGGCAGTTTCAGCTAACACCTTTAGCTTCACCACTGCTTCCCTCAGACTGGCAGCCTATGCACATCAGACCTCCCTGCCCAGAAGCAATCTCCAATTCCACAACAATTTCACTGTCTCATTCTCCCCTCCATCCTCACAGACTTTGCAGACTGCGAAGCAGGCCTTGTGCTCTTTCTTACCTACCTGCTCATTTTGCTGCATTCACTTCTCTCCTCACTGCATTGTTTCGGTTACAGGTAATTTTTGGTTTTGCTTAGCAATAGATGAGCTGCTGTTAGTCTTCTGCTTTCTGTCCTGGGCCTCTGCTCATGCTTTTCTAGTGCCAGTAGCAGGCACCTGCATGGACATCCTCACCCTCAGAGGAAATGTCCACTGAGTGGCCCAGATCTTCTTGTCAGGAATGAACTTTCTCCACCATTTATGTCTCCTGCTGCTCACATATACCCAGGGAACCAATGGTGGAATTTCCTCCAGGTATCTTCTTCTACTAGCGTTCAGTCCTGCCGTAGCTTTTCATTATTTGCCTGTCATGATTTCTTTTTAATTTCCTTGTATTGCCTCTGTGGAGTACAGGAACTTATCAGTGTTTCAGGATTTTGCAAGAACTCTGCTTTCTTGCGTCCTCCTTTCCTGGGTAGCAATAAAGAGCTGTTCCATACCCAGGTGCCACAGCTCCCCATACAGCATGGAAATCTCCCCATACCTTGGCCATGCTTTGTCCCTGTCTGAGACTAGAACAGCTGCTGCACTAGCAGGGTAAAGCTCCCTTTCACCTCATCAGATCAAGCGTGCTCTGTGAAATAGGTTGAGTGGGAACTGCCAAGCTGCACAAAGGACTGGGTGCTGAAAACACAGGAGAAACTTGTCTGCCTTATTTTAAATTGGTAGCATTAGGGCTGGCCCAGTCTGGCAGATTCCTGCTAACCTTCTTGTCACATTTCCAGTATAATCAAAAGCTTAAAACCCAACCTTATTATGGTCTTTTTTTTTTTTTTTTCTTTTTTTCTTTTTAATGCTAACTGGTATCCCAGCTGAAGCATTTTGGAATGCTGAACTCTTTATTTACCTTCCTGAACAGGGTCAGGAGCATTTGGAAAAGCCAAGGCCTTTCCACCTGAAGGCCATCAGAAGGCACCACACAGCTCAGTGTCAGATACAAGAGGCAGTCTTGGGTTAATCAGAGCAGAAAAGGCTCTGCAGACTGAGGGGCATGGATGGATACAGAGCGGACAAATGCTCCCCGGGGAGGAGCAAGTGGCTGCAGACAGAAGCAAAGGCTCCACAGAGGGGGATGCTCCCAGGCCTGGATCCCCATCCTTCCCTTGCACCCTACCTGGAAGTTACCAGGTGTGCTGTGCTCAGCCCCCCAGGGAGCCCAACGCTTGCTGTTTCCATGGAAAGCCCCATCCCCACACCCTTGCAGATGCAGGACTTTGTATTGCACAAGGCTCAAAGCACCAGTTCACAAAACATTAAGGACAGGAGGGTTAGACCCTCCTGTATTCTTAGACTGTATTCTTTGCCACATATTGGTCGTTTCTCAGTGGTACACGACTGCACGTAGAGACTGCAGCAAAGTAATTGAGCTTAAGTGCTGCAGGAGGCTTTGCCTTTTACTCCATGTACTTTGCTGCACCACTTACCTTGGGGAAAATGTTACGAGAAAAGAGCCAGCCACTCTTAATTCTTTCTACATAAGCAATGATCACCTGCTAGCAATGACAAAGCATGTGCACGGATAGAGGCAGAGCTGTGGCCCAGTGAAAAGTGATTAGGACGGTTTAAATTTCCTTTCTGCTCTTTATATTAATGGATTGGCAGGAGAAAACAGACAGACATGATTGGAAGCAGTCCACACAGGACTGGGGTCAGTCCCATAACAGGCCAGGATCGATGCTGAGCCGTTTACACTGCAGCAGACACTTTTCCTTGTGGTTCCTTTCCAGGCTCCAGCTCAGCAGATCTGCCTCAGATTCTCTGCTGCTTTAAATTAAAACCAGAATAATAACATGCAAATAATGATGCCATCACACAATACTTTCTAGCAGTTGGCACAGCAAACAGACACACAGAAAGAGCTCAGGGGAGGGAACTGCTTGGCAAAGCATTGCTTGGTCAGGAAACGTCAGCTTATCAGAGGTTGCCTGTGCTCTCACTGCAAATAGTTCCCTATTTGTAATCTCCACAAGACTCGAGCTTTAGTCCATGATTAGAGACCAGTGGATGGGGGGGAAATGCTATGCAAGAAGAGAAAAGTTTCCCTGCCCCTTCTCTGGGGCAGGACTGCTGGGCTCTAGGTTCTAGTCTGGCTCCACCACGCTGCAGTGTGACCCCTTGCAAGGCTTTGTAGAGGGCTTGTTTAGTAAGTGCTCTATTTGCAGCCCCCAAACAAAATGGCATAGTAACCAATGTTACACAGGGCCACAAGTGCAGCAAAAGTGGCTTGTGAACTCTTCAAAAATTTTGATCAGCTTAGCACCATAAATTTCAGGGTCTAAAGGCAAGACAGTGGGGCTAGGATGTAGATAGGAACTGCAGAGGTGCTCTCTATGCCATGAGAGCTTATGGTTTCTGCGAAAATGAGACCTAAAGGGCCTTGCAAGTAAATCTGAGCCTGTAAGAGGGAGGGACCGAAATGTTCAGTGTGAACCACTTCACAGAGGTGACAGCTTCCAGCAGAAAAATGCCTCTTTCACTAGGACATCACCCATGTTCTCATCTCTTTCCCAGGTGAAATACGCGTTCTGGAAGTGCCAAGTGGGGAGCTGCTGATGGGGCCTCTGAACAGGACCAGGCCAGGAAAGTGGCTCTGGAGCCAGAGGGCAAACAGGAGGCCAAGTGGAATCACAGAGTCACCCTGACAGGCCTCCTGCACCTCTGTCATCCCAACTTAAATCGCAGCAGAAAAAGATGTGCGGCTTCACAGTGCAAGGGGTGTGCTGTGTGACACAGAGATGAGACTGTTCCCAACCCAGACAGCTTCTTCCCAGCTGACATAAACACCCCTCACCTTCTCGAGAAACCTGAGGCTGGAAACAGGCTGGAAACAAGGGAAGTGCCTCATAAACCTCCATCCTGAATGCTCCAGACTGCCAAAACAAAGGGCTGGCAGCCCAGCTGCAAAGATGCTGTGGGTAACAGCATCAATATCAAGAGGATTTAATTCATAATCATGAGAAAACTGAGAACAATAGCAAAGCCATGAAGCTCCCTGAAGGGTTTGTCTGAAGAAGCTTTGATTTCATCAGTCTTGAGTATTATCTAGTTAGATTTGAGCTGGCTGAGATACCAGGTCATTACCGAAAGAAAAACACGAACGGATGGCACCCTTTCTGCAGAGAAGAAGCCAGAGAGAATCTTAAGTTCATTGTCTTTGTGGTGCTTCTTTTTGGGGGCAGCAAGAAATAGGCCTTTCCCTCTGCTTTTATTTGTAGATCTGCCAGAGGAAGGTAAAACTAAGCATCAGATGCACTCGAAACATTCAGAATCTTTTCTCTCAGCTTTTTGTCTAAAGTCCAAATTGATTAAGTGTTGACAAAAGAAAACATGGTTTTAAGCGGGTGCCTTTCCTTACTGGTCCATTTCAAATGAGCTCTGTTGTTGATGCCTGTAATGTAATGGTATTAGCTCACCCATTTCTGCACCGCTTCAGAGGAAAAGCCAGGTGGCACTTGGCTTTATCTGTAATTAGAAAAACAATTTGAGGAAAAAAATAGTTAATTTCTCTTTTCAAAAGCAGAGAAGATTTCAGGCCTTCTTTATTCATCCCATTAAAGCCTTCCTCATCACTGAAAGGAGCACATTGCGTTTTTTAAAGGGGGAGAGCAAAGGATCTCCAAAAGGCTCTGTACCTGCATCATCAGATTCAGCTTTTTTCTATCTTGTCCACGTGTCTTTGAGAACATGATTTGGCCTTCCCTAATGACATGCAAGTACAAGCACTGAGGATAAATGTGACAAGGGCTTTAAGGCCATCTCCCCAGCTGGTGACCAAGACAGAAGACCAGAAGGAGCAGAGCATAGTAGTGTAACCCCATCCCCAGGTGCCTGCATGCTCCTCTCCTATTTTTCAAGTAGTGTCAAGTGTCCTGGGGACAAAAAAGCTCACAGCCATACCAGGGACCTCTGCTGAATATACATTTAGGCAATAGTCTGCATTTTATCTTTATTCATAGAAGTATAAAATCCTACAAATCAGGATTTTTAATGGGAATTTTGTTGTAGACAGATCAGGGCTTTGTTTAACTTTGCAGGAACCATCCAACTGCACCTCTCTCTTACTAACAGTGGCCATAAGTGCGAGTCGCTCTGCAGATTTGAGCCCCTGGATCATGGCTTAGACATTTGGTTTGCCTTATTTTTCAAAGGAAAAAGCAGTCACTGCATAGGGGACTGGGATGTTATTGTTTTGTTGGAACAAGAAGGAGCAGAAAAGTCCAGTCCCATTTCTGCGTGACTGGAGTTGTCACTGCTCCCTTGCAGGACAAGTCACACAGTGCATGTTTACTGGGAATTTCTGCTGGGGAACACAAAAAAAAACAGGTATACAGCCACAGAACCCGCTGCTTGGGGCAGCACTGTGGGCAAAAATGGGGGAGACTTCTTTCCTCTTTTCCTCAGCCTGTTCTCCTGCTCCAGGAAGCACTGTTGGGTGATAAAAGCAGTTTGCAGGTTCTGTGATACAGAAACCAAGATGATGAAACCAATTGCCAGCCTTCAGAGCAGGAAAAGGTCCAGCAGATATAGCCACAAAGTGGTTGTTAAGGCTTGAGCCTGCGAGGGGGAGGTGATCAGTGATCTGCATCTTACTACAGCAATAAATTCCCAGCCACCTAGAGGCTTCAGGTTAGCTTATTGTTGTTAGATTATCAGTAATATGAGGAGTGGGGATGGGCAATTTATTATGTTTGCACCATGTCCAACAAAAGTTTTGATATCTCTAATTGCTCTTGTAATAAAAGTGAAGGTGAGCAATAAAACCAAGCCTTCACTCAGGACTTCAGCACAGCAGCATGGGGCATTTGCATGACATTTCTTCCCAACGACGGACTTCTCCCATTCTCCTTCCTCCTTCTATCACTCCTTGAGCAGAAGAAGAATCTCCCTTGCCAGTTTGCAGCATGGAACAAACGACAAAGACAAGCAGTTTGGCCTCTCTGAGAAGCAGTGATCCAACCATAACCATGTGCACGCACAGTTGCAATAGCTTTCTGCAACCAGTTTGTCACTAAGCTGTGAGGAGCATCTCGCATGTCAGCTTGTCAGAGTTCCCTTAGAAAGTTAAATGGTGCACACTCTAATTGTAATTGGATGCAAATTAAAATATCACTCATGAGAGGACTGAAATCCTGGAAGGGCAGATTGCATGCATTAAGCCTCAGGATTTGAAAAATGTCAGAGAATATGTTGTTCCTTTTTAGAGTTTGCTTCTGTCCTCTGCCACCCTGGCAAAGTGAATAAATCAATCTCTTCCCCCTTCCTGGAAAGTGAAATGGGGAGGTTCAACATCTGCTGATGAAGAGCATTTGAGTCATTCACAATCTGCTGACTGGAGCTGCTCAGTCCAAAGTCTGAAAGGCTTTTCAATGTAACAACAGGATCAGGGAAGGCCATCTCAGAGATGCCAGGCCTGGCACCCCGAGCAGAACTCTCATCAGAGAGAAAGGGAGATGGAGGGCTGCCCTTCTGTGACAGGCATCCCCCAAACACAGCCATCCCTTCAGCAATAAAAGGGAATTTGCGACATCTGGTATTTCCTGTGGGAAGCAGAACAATCCTGCTTAGCAAACAACGACAAGCCACACCGGCTTGTGCGGCCCTGGAATAGGTGTAAAATGTGGAGAGGTGCAAAACTGGCACCTGTGAAAGACGGATGTGCTCTGAACAAGGCCCCTCCTTAATTACAGCTGCCACTTTACAACCTGGAGAGATTGCTAACAGGGACAATTCTCAGTGGCAGTTGTTTTTAAGCTGCCTTCCAGATGCTCTCTAAGCCTGGCCATCCCCAGGCTTGCAATCAAGGCTCTCACTTTCCCTGTAAGTGCATGGAGCTCCCGGGGTGAGGGCTGGGGGCCCTGTGGGGTGCCACTGCCCTCCCCACCACAGAGGATGGCCCAGTGACCCCTTCAGTTTAGTTCTGACTTCATTCTTCCCAGAGTTAGCATGTCGAGGTTTTTAGAAGAAATGCACTGCCTTTTTTATTTATTTTTTTTCCTGTGGAAAATCCTGCACTGAAGCAATTTGTGGTCAAAGCTAAGAAAAGTTTAAGCTGTCCCTGGAAGACACTGGTGATCGATGCAATAATAAGTCTGTTCTCATTAAGGCTATGCACAAAGACAGTCTTATATTGACTTTTCCCATGAAAATTTCTGTTATGATTCCTATAAATGTGCTTTGGGGATACCAAGCATCTGTGTTCTTCCTGTGCCCCCAGCACAAGAAGGCCCCAGGGAAGCCTTACAGCGGCCTTCCCGTACCTAAAGGCAGCTGCAGGAGAGCTGGGGAGGGACTCTTTGTCAGGGGGTGTGGTGACAAGACAAGGGGGAATGGCCTTAAACTAAAAGAGAAGTAGGTTTAGATTAGATATAAGGAAAATATTCTTCACTCAGAGGGCAGTGAGGCCCTGGCACAGGCTGCCCATAGAAGCTGTGGTGGCCCCATGCCTCGAGGTGCCCAAGGCCAGGCTGGATGGGGCTGGGGGCAGCCTGCTCTGGTGGGAGGTGTCCCTGCCCATGGCAGGGGGCTGGAATTAGATGGACTTTAAGGTCCCCTTACCTGGTCTTCAGCAGTTTCTTTGCTTTCCTACCATCCCGCCACAGCGCCGCAGAATTCACTCCTCCTGTTGTGTGATGTGTAAGCAGGACACCCCATGCTGCATCATCTGTGCCAGTGTTTGGGGGTACTTAGTGCTGTTTTTGGGCTGAACCCATGATTTCTGTTTGGGGCTGAAGCAGTATTGTCTTCCCCCTGAAGCAATATTGTCTTTTGGGACAGTGCTCACAGTGGCCAGGTGTCACAACAGCTTCCTGGTTCTGTACTGCGGCTTATTGATGGGCCCATGGGGTTATAAAGCTGGAAGGTAGCAGCGAATGTCTCCCCACAGCCTGTACACAGACATCTTGTGGGGTGGTGAGGACCAGTCTCTGAACATTAAGCATTCTGATCACTGGGAAAAGGTTTTTTTCCCACCTCGCTGGAAGCACCCATCTCTGTGGGTGTCTCAGCTCCTTGCATCACCCTGGAATCTGGAAATGGGTACAGGCAGAGGGCAATAGCTTTACAGCTTGCCTTTTTGCTGCCATCAGGGCTAAACATATCCATTCACTTTTCGTAGGCTAGGATATGTATTCAGAGGTAGTGCCAGTTTCCAAACTCATCTCTTTTCCCCCTTTTTCTGTCCAGATTTCTAAAGATTCAGGACTGAAACTTTGCTTCGAGTCCTTATCTAGTACTACCAACAAATCCTATGGCTGTTATCAGTTTTGCTAGCTGAATAAATGAATAAAATTTTGATAACTGAGTAAATTAATTAAATTCCAGTATCTCTATAAACACCAGGGGACTGGATTGTTTTCGTTATCTACAAGGAAAGAAATAATACCTTAAAAACAAAAGACTAAGTTAGATCTGAAATGCTACTATACATATATACATAAGTTAACTTCCCAGTGGCCAGTCACAAAACCACCAGCTGGATGCAGGTCATGGTACAATCCTGTAATACACTTTACCACTAGGTAACTCTGGTGAAGTACAGCTGGTCCTTGTCGTGGAGAATCTGCTGTGAAGTTTAGCCATTTAGAATCTCAACATTTTTTTATCAAGGATTTCAAATAAGCAGATTATTTTTTCCCCCATTTTTGGCATGGTATGTGAACCAGAACATGAGTTAATGCTCTGAAGATAATGTCTAGCCCTTGGGCAATTGCTAACACTGTTAAAAAGAAAACTCTTTAATGCAGAATATGACATTGCAGAGCAGTTGCAAAAATCACAGTGCAAAAAGTAGAAGAACGTGATTTTGCATAGCCCTGGGTTACTTCCACAGATTTTCCCCACTGCTGCACAGAGATGCAGAATATTGTCATTATTTCATTCAAAGGTTTCAACTGGAAGAGTAAAGTGTAGAGGGGTTATTAAAGAGCAGTTTCTGCAGACAGTTCATAGACCTAAACATGCTGGCAACAAAAAGAAAAAATACTTTCTAATATTCTTGCCAGCACTGAAATACCAAACCTAGAGAGGGGCAGAAATAAGGGTTTTGAGAGTACTGATTTGTGTAATCTTGCTGGTGTTGCACAAGAAGAAGGTCTGGACAAGCTGAGAGCAAGACTTTTGGGGTTTGATGATGACTGCTTGAGTGCTAACAGATGTTTCCTTTTCTAAACTCCTTGGGGAGTTACCTGGCTGCCTTCCCTGAGGAGGCACTGGCTGTCTGAGCTGGGCTCCTTTGTGTTATTAGCTTCTAGAGCATTATAGGCAATGCTCTGCTTAGTGTGCTGGAGGAACAGCTGACTCCTCTCAGAGCTTGTCTAGGGTGTCTCTAGGATGGCAGTACCAAACTGTATTAAGGGACTTGGGATAATACTCTGCTCTGACTTGATTTCTTCTGCACTAAAGAGAGATGCTGTAGTACAGCGAGTCCTGGCATTAGAGCAATCCCACAGCTTCTATAGGAGCTATTTGGTTTTCAGCCTAAACAAAGGTGGTTCCAGTTAATTAATGGTTTCATTATCCAAAAGAACATTTATAAAGTCTTAACCCCTACTCCAGCCTGAAAGCTTTCATGGTTCCAGCATCATCTACCCAAAGATCTCAAAGCAATTTATTGTATTACCTGCTACCTTGGAAATTATTTTCCTTCCCCCCAAAAAAAAACAAAACCAAACTTTCCAAAGTGGCCCATCATTCTGAGATGTGAGATTTTGTCTACCTTTTGGTAACCTCTTTCCAGAGGTGCAGGATCTTCTGCATCTCACAGGTCAACAGTGCTGCACAGATCTAGTAGTGATAAAAACCAAAATCCAGAAATTCCAAGTTTGCCATTAGGAGGAGCTAATGATAATGAAAACCTGGCTTTAAAAAAATAATAATAATAATTCAGGATTAGAAATAGAGCATGGCACTGTGTCTGAATGCCATAATCTGAGGTTAGGCTGGCACAGGCTACTGTGAAAGCTGTCTGGCCAGGCAATAGTCAATAACCCCCTTTGGAGTCTGTGAAGGTTTGCTGCCAAAGGAAAGACTTGCAGATGGCTATCTTTGGAAATATCAAAGGGCTCCTTTGCAGGTGATATCCCAGAAGCACAAGATAGGGGTTTGCGGGTGTCTTTTCCCCTACCCATGGTCCCAGAGTGCTGTGGTCCTCCTACCCTGACTAGGAAGAGAACAAATGCATGTTCCATCCATCATTTCCCTGGGGTGATTGCACAACAGCCTGAAGTGACTCAGCTGGAGAAAACAACATGTATTCAGGACCACGAAGTTCCTGGCCTCCAGTTTAGGGCATAGCAGTTGTGACAGATTTTAACTAGGAATGCAGCTGACTCCCAGATTTGGTTCTCTGAAGCCCTGACATCTGATGCTCTAATTTCTTGGGCCTCTTTTTCTAACTGTCCACTGCTTTTGCATGGAGATGTGTGTTCAAGACTGGATGGAGAACTAATTGGTTTGGGATATATGGTCCCAGATTAGCAATTAAGGGATTTGGTTGCACCAATTAATCAGCATGTAGCTTTATTTTGGCCTCCCATGATGAAGCAGTATGTCTAGTGCTAATGGGCCTTACTTCTATATACAGCTTGAAAAGTTGTTTTGTTTTTTTTTTTTTTTTAGAATGGGTTTGTGGTACAGGTGTTTAAAGCACTGATCAAATGCATGAAGGAATGTGTGTGTGACCTCTCAGGTCACAGAAATACATATTTTCTCAACAGATTTAAACAAGTTCTTTTGATAAAAATGAAAGATTGCACACATCACAACTAAAAAGTAGAACCTGTAAAAAGTTTCTTGGGATAACAATCAGTTTGCCACGAAATTTAAAAACTAGCTTGCAAAGTTTATGCCATCCTTTATTATCTATTTTTGTTAGTATTTCTAATATTTTCTGTCCACCCCACTGTCACAACATGGCACTGAAGGATGTAGGGCAGCAGCCAGTGCCCGGCAGAGCCCTCTTTTCTGCATCTAGGCCTGGCTTTGTGCTTTCATTTCCCCCACCATTGCTGCACTTTACAACCTTGGGGAGAAGCCAGTCTGCGAGCCAATTTCTAGATGAGTAAGAGTCCCGCTTGTGTCTTCCCGTGTAGTAAATACAGATGGAGAATTTGTGTGATCTTGCTTTCTCTGTAGGGCCATGGAGTAAGCAATTCATTTTCCCCTCTCAACACTGTTTTATGTGTATCTGCTTATAAAAAATTAGAAGCCAGAGAAACCACAGTGCATTTTCAGTTGCCATTGAGCCAGTGACATATTGGTAATTAAAGAGTAATAACTCATTTCTTTGTTGATTCAGGCTGGGCAGGGAGGAGTAGATTGACTCTCTATTGCCCAGGTTAGAATTGGCTAAAGCCCGTTCACCACTCTGGATAAAGAAGACACACTTCTTTACTTCACTTGCATGCAAGGGAATCTTCCCTGAATAAAAGCTGCTTCGTGTTTGAATCTACCCTCTCCCTTGATTTTCAGCACTCCCAGCCCTCTGCTCGTGTTCTCACTTGACAGGCAGGCTGGAGAACTCATTGCAGTCCTGACCTGCAACTGCTTTCCTGCATCCCTCCCAGCTCCAGGTCTCACAACTCCAAACGTATCCTGTAGCCTGGAGCACACCTTGCTTTTTAGACCACAGCTACCTTATGAAGCAAGGACCCTAAAACCAGAATCAGTCCAACAGAGCAGGTAACGTTTAGGAGAGCTCTGAGTAGATAAACTCTGGTCTTTGCAGCATTAAGTTGCGATACGTTGTTTTTCCCACTCTTGGAGGTGGGAGAACTCCCTCCTACAAATCAAACTTGTTGCAAATTAGAGGCTTAATCCTTAACACCACGAGGCAGTCTCCAACACGTGAGTGTTTTGGTCCAGAGAATATGCAGTGCTGCAGATAAAGATGGACAGATCCTATTACAAGTGAAAACCCCCACCGTTCACTGCTGTCTTCTGGATTAGGTGACACGCATAGGGGCAGCACTGCAGCTTGACAAGGGCAAGGCAGAATCCATGGTCTTGAGGGTTTATTTAAGATCTAGTTAGCATGCAGCCTTTGCAACTTAAGAGCTCATTTCTTTGCTTCTTTCCTTTATGAGCTGTCAGTATGGTATATGAACCTATGGTTCTTCAGCTATGGGCTGCAGAGCCCTGAGATCCTGCTTATAAGAGGTCCTGAAGAGTACCACCAGAAATCACACGTCAGGAGGCTCGATTCACATCACTTGCAACCTATCCATCCACTGGAAAAATATAACTACAACTGTGAGAGGCTGGAAATAGCAGACATTGGCCAATTACACCAGTTCTGGTTTAAAAAAAAAAAAAAAGGGGGTTATTTTATTTTAATATGCTACTGCTACATCTCTTCCATTCCTATCACTGCTTCCTCTGCTTTGAACAGAGTGCACCTTTCTCCTCCACAGTGCTCAGATATTCCCCTAAGGAAGCACACACTGTGTTACCTAACGGAAGAGGGGACACCAGGTGGGCATGACAGATGGGGGCCAGCAAGGTAACAGTGAGGTAATTAGAATTAGGAGCATAAACAGCGGTTGGCAGACATTTTGAGAGACATTTGCATGAAAATTGGATCTTTGCTTATGAAGGGTTCGCCGCTTCCTGCTGTTCTCACCAAAAAACATGTTACTTTGACATCACAGTTGGTTGCTATGGAAATGCTGATGCTACCAAAGATAGGACTGAGCTGAAGGGCTATAAAAAGTCCTGGAGACCCAGCTGAGTCCATACGCATTTGGGAGAGGCCACTGCAGCATTTATTTTCGGCGGCAGCACATTAGCCCATTAGGGTGCCGGAATGTGACACCAAATTTGGACGAGGGGACGTCACACCAAAACAGAACGCCGTGCTGCTAGGGGAGGGGACGTGAGGAGTAAGAGGGTAAGAAAGCAGGGAGGAAGTCAGCACCACCCTGGCAAGGAAGAACAAAGCTCCCCAAAAAGGAAGTAAGTTTTAGAAAAAGGAAATGCTAAAAATAGGACTTCTCCGTTCCCCGAAAGATGTCATAGGCTTTAATAACCTTGTAAGATAAGTCTGCTAACTACTTTTAAGTCTCAGTAAACATGACCTTACTAACAAATACTATTGCCATTATTTACAGCTGGGCTGTCAGCAGGTCATCGTCACCATTTATACTCCTAGAGCTGGTTTAAAAAA